CATATTTAATTGTTTATTATACGTCAATATTATTATACATCTAAAATATAATTATATAACTGTAATTTGGACTTTTAACTTGACATAACGGATAGATAATACAATAGCCACTTTTCGCTAGTCTTATGTGATAGGAGGTGGCTTCTTACGATACACCGACTACAATTAAATCTAAAAGAAAAAAATTATATAAAAAAACCGCCAAAAATCAATTTGACGCTTCCACCATCTTTGTTTAAACGTCAAATTAAAAGTCCAATTACAACCATGGCAACACCGATTGTACACCCATTTTACCACTAGTAACACCGTTAATATACCTACTGGTCGGATTATACGACGTTCATTCAATTAACTAGAAGACGAAAGTTTTGTAAAATATTTTTTTTTAGTTCTAGAAAAATAGAAATCTACTTTCGCTTTTTTCTTTTTTATATAGAATTTTTGGTCGAATACATTTTAAGAATGAGGGCTAATATTTATAAGCTAACTATATGACGTTTATGTAACAAGGACATTGTAAAAAGACGGACATAATCTCTTGAAACAACGACTGTGGCACCTGGCTACTATTGATTTACACGCAGAATACACACACATTGAAACAAAGTATATCTGCCACTTGACATGGCCTGTCATTACACTTCATACATTACGGTGTTGCAAGTTAATTAACATTTTCATTTACTCTGAGTTTGGGTAAATGTTTTGTTTTAGGTACAGTCAAACGTCAAAAGTCCACCAGTCATCAGTGCCACCGTGAGTGATGTTCACACGGCAGTGCGGAAGTATTTTCATATTAATGTGCATAAAACGTGTGCTTACGCATAAACACACGCACGCGTACGCACACGGATAAAATATGCGTGTGCATGTGGTATTGCAGCGCAACCGATAATAGTATTACGGTGGCAGTGGGCTTTTGACCTTTGACCGTACAGGCACGTGTCCGCTGCAAAGGCATGGATGAATTATTGGACAGAAATACAAACAAAATAAATAAACCACTGATACAGGTCCTCATTTCTAAGTGACATTGCGTCCGCCTTTTTCAATGTCCTTGTAATGTACAAATAATAATGATATTCGAATCTAACTGGAGACTTCTTGCTTGCTAAGTACGGCGCCCTGATTAGTTGGTTTACTGGAGCCGGCCAATCAGAGCGCCGAACGCACTTGATACTATTACGTTACGATTGCGATAGTTATTCGTGCTTGGTACTTTGGTCGTACTTTCGACCTTACTCGAACCAAATTTTGTTAGTAAAATGTATTTTTACAATTATTTCTTACACACCAAGCAATCATTGCCGTTAAGATTCTGCTAAAATACTTTCGGTACACATCAATTAGCTATTCACAGTTTTATAAAAAAAATATTTATACATAATACACATAACTCCTTTATATTTTTGTTATAAAATGTAAAACTCTATTATAGTTGATACAAATCGTCTACATAAGTATGTTTATCGTGTTGGGGGCTGTATTCTTGCTCATCCAATGATGCTAGTAAGTACGAGCTTCTCGTTTTTAGTCCAATTACCTAGTATAACACCAATTTACGTTCAATATGTGATAGCGGCAATGATTGGATAAAAAATCCCTTTTTTTAAATTTACGCCATCTAGCGACAGAGAATACAATAGCCATCATTTTAATGCTCGTAACGCAGCGCCATCTAGTAACTGAGACATCGTTTAACCTCTATTTATAAAGATGATGAGAGGGTATAAAAATTAAACGTCTTTTTAGTCTATCAGTTGGATATTAAAAAAATATAAGGCATAAGTTACATGGAAACAAAATAAGACTGTTTCTATTGAAGTAATTAAAGTTTTGAAGTTATAAAAAGAGATGAAACCAGGCCTTCTCTGTTTGTACACACTCGTTGACGATGCGGTTTACGCTTAAAACGAATATCATACAGAATTTTTACGACTTTCGACGATAAAATACATGATTTTGATTATTGAAGACAAATTTTGTAATTGGAAGTCTTGTCTTGTCTACATTATAAAATGAAGCCGTAAATTAATAATTTAAATAGATAAGTTTATAGACTTTATATGTTAAGTATTAAAGAAGCTAATTTTTATATTATAATAAATATTTTTTATAATTAGGTAAATATTTTTAAACTATTGATATTACAAGAAGCATTTTTTTATTATTTTTAATATTGATTTCATTATACATAGATAGGTACAGTATTACCTGATCCTATTACTGCCTCTTGGCATTGTATTTTCTCTACAAACTGACATTATTTTAATAATGAAATCAATATATAAAAATAATTGATAAATAAATTATATTCCGTGTGCAAATAACTTAGTGAATTTTGTTTATATATGTAGGTATATTTTGTATATACAGTGTAAGTTCATATATAACTCTTGTCCGATCCGAAATTGATAATTGGGCCTCCGGTAACCTCACTCACACGACGAAACACAACGCAAGCGTTGCTTCACGTCGGTTTTCTGTGAGTGACACTTTATTAAACATAGCTACTTCTGTGCGGAGTTTTTTTAATCAACCGCTTGAATGTCGGTATATGAGACACAATAGAAAACATATTGCGTCTCGCGTAGATCTGCGATACCACAGGTTCATATATAGGTAATATTTTTATCTATATATATATATATATATGGAAAAAAGAAACCCGTTTCCCGATGTCACGCCATAACTTGAAAACGGCTAGATCGATTTGGCTGATTTTTTTTGTTGTGCTCGTCATTGTTAGGAGAAATGTTCTTATGACAGAAAAAGTCCTGAAAATCCTAAGGGAACATGAGAAAACGGGATTGCGCGTACGAAGTCGCGGCCAGAAGCTAGTTTTCAATATTTTAGATAGAAATCAATGATATTATAAATAATAAAAAGAGGTAGATATCGCACTGGCACGCAAAAATTGTTGCGAACGAATTCAGACAATTGTCGTAATTTTATAATAGCTTTCTCTTTCTGTACCATACTTTCCGTATTATCTGTCGCACGTAGTTGAAAATGACATTTAAGTACATTTGTAATAAGAACGCAACAATTTTTGGACGCCGCTTAGTATGAACGTAGCGTATCTTCTTTATAATATCATTGATAGAAATGGATTGGACAGAGTCTTTGATAACATAGTGTATATGAGAATCTAATATATATTTTCGTTTACATAATAATACTGTTTAGTAGATAGGAAACTTAGAGCTAATATGGCATTTTAGGATACATATAGGAAACATATATTTACGTATGTCAATAAAAATAATTGAAAAATTATACTTTTTAATGAAAGGACTATCTGCTTTAATTGGGTACTTGCCTTAATCAAAAATAAATTATTTCGACTGTTCAATACAATAAAGTATTAAAAACTGATCACATTTTCATTAATTGATTTTATGACCAACTTAATTGTAGTATTTTTCCAGCAAATTTTTAAGAAATAACTACGCTGTTTGACGCTAAAAAAAACGTGACGTCACGATACACAACCTTGTACAAAATTCATAGAAAACTCTCGTTTTTGACAGTTCGCAAAAAAAGTATTGAATTTGACTAGTTGGCAAGTACACAATTGTGGTAGCGTAAGCCAGGGGGTTACTCTTGAATCCAATTCCAATCGATCGACATTAGTATTGTGAAATTTCGTACTCTTGAGTTGCAACACTAGCGCCCATTGCATCCGTATTGCGTGGGTATTGAATGAACTAATTGGTATTGAGTTTGGCTCTATATGATCCGTACTCTAAATGCTATATTAACAGCTACGATAGGGGTTGTATAGTGTTGACATTAAATAATTATTGAGGTTTTATTGGATTGAAATTGCATTGACATTGTGATTGGTTTCAAGAGTAAGCACCCAGGCATCAAATACTTACTCAATGGCTCTTTTAATTACGCGACCAAGAAAGATATATAAAAAGTATCCATCAATTTTCGACATCCTATTTTCCTTATATGTAATGGCATATATTATACTATCTCTTTCATTTAAATGAAGATAGAGGCAACAGAAACTATTTTTTGGGTATTAAAGCATCATTTTTGAGTATTCCGACATGATATTTGGCATGACATGGCGAATTAACTAAAAATTATGAGTTACTCACGTAAATATACTGAGAAAAGCTCTACTATTCACAATAGGGTAGGTTCCTAAATTTTATTTTAATGTCCGTCTAGTACATTAACTCTTTGAGTACCGTCATTATAGACACAATTAAAGAACAATAGGTTGCGGTCACCGGTGTCCTCGCGGTGTTTGACAGTTTAATTTAAAACTTTAAACTCGTATTTTTTATTATAAATACTTTCGACGATATATTAATTTGAAATATCGTGTGACGTCACAGCGTGCCACATTTTATACCACGTTATATAAGTCTCTTGTATATTGTCATCAGTAGGCGGCGCGACATCGCCGCGACCGCGCACGCAGCTCAAGATGAAGTCCCTCTGTGACTGGAAACTAGTAGAGCTTTTAAACATAACACCATGTCTTTTATCCTCGAAAGGGTAGGCAGAGGTGCACATTACGGCACTTAATGGCACTGTAAAATGTAACACCCACTTTTCACTATTTATGTTATGAGTCCCATGTAATAGGGAGTGAGTATATTGCCATATACCGGGCACAATTCCAGACTCCGTGCTACTACTGAGAATTGTAAATATTAGAGCTTTTCTTAGTATGTACCTGTATTTACGTGAGTAACTCGTATTTATTAGTTAATCCAACATGTGTCACTATAGTTATTATAAACACAATGTTATACTTACTTAAGATTATGGTTTTTTTCGTTTTCGCACACACAGAACCTCATATATACTCATATTTTTTTGTTACATCAAAAACTGACACGTAAAAATCACTATTATAAAGAGGTACATAGAGTTCACTATTGTTTAAGTCACTTGTCACTCAAAACATTTTTACACACAAGTCGCGCCACAAGTTGGGCGATAAGTTGTGCCACAAGTCACTTTACACTTTAATGTTGTGTTAACGCGGTGAAGTACCGCAGGAGGTCGGTGTCGGCGCGCAACACCCACGCCGCGTTCAGCGCTATTGTATCTAGCGCTGTCGTGGCCCCTCGGTACTCTCCGAACAGCTCTTTAAACTGTGGGAAAGAAAGAAAGATGAAGATAAAAAGGTGCATAATAATTGTGTACTTGCCAAATAGTCAAATTCAATACTTTTTTTTGAACTGTCAAAAACGACAGTTTTCTATGAATTTTATACGAGATTGTGTATTGTGACGTCATGTTTTGTTACCGTCAAACAGCGTACTTATTTCTTAAAAAATTGCTGGATAAATACCAAAATTAAGTTGGTCATAAAATCAATTAATAAAAGTGTGATTAGTCTTTTTTCTATTTTTTTGAGCTAACCAGTCGATATAATTAATTTTTGACAAAGGAAAGGACCCAATTATAGAAGTAACGTGTTTTAAAGAAATATAATATTTATTTCACACGCTAAAACAGGTGACACATACAGATTTTACACAAGTTTACTAATACATATCTACTAATGTCCCAAGTCTGCGGTGAATTAGGACCAGTTCAGCATGTGCAAGACAGGGCCTCGCGCTGGTATGCTATTGGCCCCTTAAGTGACTCACAGACGAACGGGTTTTAGGCAGAAGTGAACATATACAATGTAACACCCACTTTCTAACAGTTATGTTATGAGTCTCATATAGTAGGGGAAAAGGAACCAGGTACAATGACCGATACTGCGCTAAATGTAATGCAATTTATAAAAACTAAAAAGAATTCCATATAATGCATTGCTTGATTCACGTGGTTTTAAACGTGACGTTATGTCCTGTACAAGTATTATAAAAAAATATTCTTACCCGGTAATAATCATACGGCTGGTATAAGCATCTCGCGGCCGCTTGTAATGCTGACGGTGGCAACACTGGTTGTGGACGAAGTATGCGCCATACACCGGCCGCGCCACGCCATCTAGTAGAGTACATTATTTTATAAGACATCAATATAATACTATGACCATTAGTACCATCTAGTAGCGGACATTGGAAACAGAAGTAACATCTAATGCCATCTAGTGGTAGACAAAGACAACGAAAACTGGATACAATTTGCTTCACTGAAAGGATCATAGTCTATAGTCGAATAATTTAACAGTAAGACAATTTAAACATAACATATCATGCCTTTTATTCCCGATGGGGTAGGCAGAGGTGCACATTACGGCACTTAAAGCCACTGTACAATGTAACACCACTGTTCACTATTTATATTACGAGTCCCACTGAGAATTTTAAAAAAAGCACTCGGCCAACGAGGTAGTCAGTAAGACTATTTAATTTGCCTCTTTTGAACCAAGTTTAATACTTATAACCAAGTTTTATATCTTATTTACAAAGATATTGTAAGGAGGATGGTTGACACTTCAGGTGATCGAAGGGCTGGCTACTGCCTTGGGCAAAGGTTAAGCATTGCCATTCAACTTGGCAATGCTGCCAGTCTTTTCCGTGGCACCCTACCTCACGATAGCGATGAGGAAAATGTTTTCTTTCATGTCTTATGATCTATGTATATAATCTATATATATAAAAGAAAGTCGTGTTAGTTACACCACTTATAACTCAAGAACGGCAGAATAGATTTGGCTGAAAATTGGTAGGGAGGTAGCTTAGAGCCAGGAGACCGACATAGGATACTTTTTAACCAATACTTTTTTTTTTACTTTTTACCGAAAATCACGAACGGGGCGGGAAAAAATGGGATTACGCGTACGAAGTCGAGGGCAGAAGCTAGTATGATATATATTATATTTTTTTAAGGTTAAGTTATTTTTTTTTTAATTTTAAGAGGTATATATTAATAGTCGCAAAGTAGTTTTATTTTCCAATAATAAACATCCAGTTACAGTTTTGCATAGAAAAAGGAAAAAAAGGTTAATACTTTACCTGCAAGTAGCTGAGCATAGCGCAGTGATCCAAAGTCGCCACTCTCGACTCCTTTGCGCTTCATTCGATAATGAGGCAAACGCGAATCTGAAATAAAGTATCTATAGTTAAGGCGAAGGTCTTTTCTCAAGATGGAGTGAGTATTTAGCTGTATTCATCACATCACCACGATTATACACAAGGTTTATGCACGAGGTTTTCTTTGACGTGTATTACAGATGTTTATTTATTTATATATATATATATATATATATATATATATTATATATATATATATATATATTTACATCCCGCTATCGATTGGACGTCCCATGAAGGCGAAAGTGCATTTAATCTGGCGTCCACCTGCTTGTGGCGTCCGCATACCGGACGCCACTTTTTTGGCCTATGCTACTTAGGTCCTTTTGGTCCTGGCTACACGTAGGTTAAAAATCGACAGAGGCCAAAAGATCGGTTCAATGGCTGTTATAGTATTTTGAAAAGTTCCCAAAGAAATCTCAGCGCAGATAGAGCGCTGCTGTAGCGCGTATATCCACAGCTGTATATTTTTGGGATTTTCTGATTACAAGTCCGCGTATTTGGCGTCCTCAAAAAAATAACAGCGACGTTGCCAGTTCGCTCATTAAATCCGTGGAAAAAGTTCATAATATTATTTACCGCATTCAAAACAATATTCATCGTCGTACATTTCGGATGTGTTGCGTATTATTTGGAGTCCGATTTTATTATAATCATGTGATTGCAACTTACGACAACTTATCTGCAACCCTGTTCTCAATTTGTAAATGAGTACCTATCAGTGATATATTATAATAGATGAGGGTATACATTAATTCCTTAAAGGGATCTTAGAAATAAATACTAAAGTGACAAAATTATATGTTTTACCACAAAAAAAGTTAACCAGAGTTTAACTCGTATTAAATGTGTATTTAGATAGTATAGTCTCCGTATAAATTTTGACGTAATTTTATTAACTTTATCTATTTAAAAATATCTGTGTAAAAATAGGCAACGTCATTAGTTCCGAATTGCCGCTACCGCTATATGGAATTCCACAAGGGAGCGTACTCGGAGGAACCCTATTTCTGGTGTACATAAATGACCTATGTAACCTCAAACTACAGTGTGGAACTATTGTATCATATGCAGATGACACTGCTCTACTGTTTTCAGCAGGTTCTCTTACAGAACTTCAAAGCTGTGTACAGCAAGGGTTTAATGTCGTCAATAATTGGCTTAAAATAAATCTACTAACAATAAATACTGATAAGACAAAATTTATAAAATTTAATATGCGTAAACCACTAACTCGTAATGAATTTCACTTGTATGCGCATAAACCAGAATGCTCAATCGTGACTAACGCTTGTACCTGTCCGGAAATTGTAATAACAGATAACATTAGGTATTTAGGAATTATTCTAGATGAAACCCTTTCCTTTAAACAACATATCGCTGCTTTAACATCTAGAGTTCGGAAACTGATATTTGTTTTTAAAAAATTGCGGTTTATTGGTGATCACAAGCTAATTATTCAAATTTATAAAGCCCTGTGTCAATCGATAATCCAATACTGCATTACTTCTTGGGGTGGAAGTGGAAAAACATTGATACTTCCAATCGAACGAGCCCAAAGAGCCATCTTGAAAGTCGCCACGCGCAGACCGTACCGCTACCCCACAGGCTTACTGTATGAGTCTAGTAAAGTGCTGACAGTGCGACAATTATTCATACTATTTACTGTACTAAAACAGCATGCTACACTTACATATGACGCTAACCTCACTAACACCAAGAGACGGAAAGATATTGTCTGTACTGCTAGTTATGAATCAAAGTACGTATTTACACATAGATTTTTTGCATTTTTAGGGCCATATCTGTACAATAAAATTAATAAAGAAACTTTAGTTTACGATCTAAATTACACCAGAGCAAAACAGCGCATTTCTCAATATCTACTATCATTAAGTTATGATAAAAGCGAGGATTTGTTAATTGTCATTAAATAAATTATATATAAGTAGGTATAAATAGATAATAATTATTTTTAATGCAAGTATAAAGTGGTGTTTCCTGACCGGTGTGTGTATAATTGTATACATACATAGGTTTTGTAATATTTGTAATATTGGTGACTGTGAAAAGTAATATTGTTAAGGCTTAGTTATATTATCCTAATGTATAATGCACGCGACCACAAAGCCTGTGGTACAGATTTAATTCTATACAGGCATAGTATTGTAACCTACCTAGAATAGTTAAATAATAAGCTTAGATTAAGTATATGTGAACAAAATGGAAATAAATATATTTGTTTGTTTGTTTGTTTGTTATTTATGTGGTTAGAAGATGCATCTAACACTGAATAATTAATTAATGTTGTATTACTGATCAAATCAATCAACGTTTTTCTTATTTCTAGCCTTGGCGTGTTATAAAGATCCAATTAGGAATTATAAATGTTTTTGATTACAAAACATAAACACTTCATTAAAAGTGATATCCATATTTAACATAACATAACATCACGCCTTTTTCCCCGAAGGAGTAAGCAGAGATGCACATTACGGCACTTAATGCCACTGTACAATGTAATATCCACAGTTTTACTATTTATGTTATGAGTCCCATGTAATAGGGGGTGAGTTTATTGCCATATACCGGGCACACTTCCAGACTCTTGAAAAAACCCAGTAATACTTTACCCAACCCGGGAATGGAACCCGAGACTCTTTGCCAGGCGATCGCACTTGCGACCACTCGGCCAACGAGGCAGTAAAATGATATCCATATTCTTTGTTTTTATTTGCTTAATTAGAATTGGTAACTTCATATCAATAAGCTGCCAATTAAATATTTGATACAACTAATTGTATTCAGCTCTAAAGCTGGTTTCAAAGCTAGGGGATATGGGCAGCGCGGCTGAAGCGCGGGCTTCAACAACAGAGGCATCAGGCAACAATCCAATAGAGGAGTTAATCGAGTGGCCACAACTAGAAGTATTAAATTAGGAATCTTGCCTTAAATGAAATTGAAATTCAATACAATATTTGCGCACAAAGATCAGATTAGGTGCGGTCTTCAGTTACTTAAGGTTTAGATTAAAATAAAAGTGTATCTCATAGATCATAATTTCTAGCGATAAAGTCCTCTACTGGGACCTCTACCTCTATGACAGTCGCGTCGCAATAAAACGATGCTAGAGCTCTCATCATCTCCAAGCGCGAGGCACTTCAGCAGCGCTGCCCAATCCTCTAGCTCTGAAACCAGCCTAAATGAAAGAAGTTTTGAACATATATACTTAATAAAACCATTCTAGTAATAAGATATATTCTTATTATCTTTTCTAATTACGGACGCCCAATAGCTATACGTGGACGTTCAATAGCTATATACGGACGCCCAATAGCTATATACAGACGTTCAATAGCTATATACGGACGTCCAATAGCTATATACGAACGTTCAACAGCAATATACTGACGATCAATAGCTAGGTGATCTAACATGATACCTTTTTTTGAGGGATAAAAAATCATCCAATGCCTTTTGCCGCCGGCCGCCGGCGGCCGCGCTGGTGAGGCAAGTGGAAGTTTCAGAGGAAGTTTCTCTTACTGACTTTTTTTTTAAGCGGGGAAAATCATCGATTGACTGCTCCCGCCTGGGTAAGGCGGGAGGGAGTGTCACTCTTACTGACTAAAAACCACCCGTTCCTTCTCCTGCACGTCCAGCCGGAGCCCCGTTACCCGTTAGGTTCTCCGCGACTCCGACTCGGCATCGGCCCTGTTGGGCCCCATCTGTGGTGGTTTTATGGCTCTTTGAGGAGCACGCGGAACGCGACGCGCCGCACGTTCAGGTCTGTTTCTGGTCGGACGGGGAGCCACCCATGCTCGCCGTCCGCAGGCCCGCGCTTACGGTGGCCGGAGATCTTCCCGCGATCCCCGACGCCCGGTGTGTCCTTTGCGATGGCTGGGTTGCGAGGAGGCAGCGCTTCGCTGCCTCATGCGTCCTGCCTCCTCCTTAGCTAGTTTGACTGCTTCGCAAAAGGAGGAGACAGCATCCCAGTCCCCCTCGCTCCGCATAATGGTCTGCACTAGGCCCGGACGCGAGAGGTCGCCATCGCCGATCACTTCCCTGAGGGTACGGCGGTGCTCAGCCCACGCAATGCATTCCGCTATAGTGTGTTCCACCGTGTCCTCAGGGCGGTCCTCACAGTGATGACACCCGGACGTTTCCTCCCGCCCCATCAGACACAGGTACCTTCCGACTCTTACTGACTTAAAACCACCCCGTTCCTATTCCTGCACTTCGAGTCGGAGCCCCGGTCACCCTTTAAGTCCTCTGTGGCTCCGTATGGGCATCAGCTCCACCCGTGGTGGTCTGATGGCTCCTTGGGGCGTATGCGGAACGCGACGCGCCGTACGTTCGGGTCTGGTTCTGATCGGGCGGCAAGTCATCCGTGCTCGCCGACCGCAGGCCCGTGCTTACGGTGGACGGAGACCGTTTCGCGATCCCCGACGCCTGGAGTGTCTCTCGTGACGGCTGGAGCGTGAGGAGGCTCGTTCCCTCACGAGCTCTGCCTCCTCCTTAGCTAGCAGGACTGCTTCGCAGAAGGAGGAGACGGCATCCCTGTCTCCCTCACTCTGTACCATGGTCTGAACCAGTGTCGGACGCGAGAGGTCGCTGTCGCCGATCACATTCCTGAGGACACGACGGTGTTCAGCCCACGCAGGGCACACTGCCACCGTATGCTCCACCGTGTCCCCCGGGTGGCTCTCACCATGATGACACCTGAGCGTTTCCTCCCGCCCAAACCGAAGCAGGAACCTACCGAAAATTCCGTGTCCGGTAAGCACCTGCGTCAGGCGGTAGATAAGGACGCCGTAGCGTCTCTGTCTCTCAAGCCACTCCTCAAATCTAACATGACACCTGCTGAGGAAGTACGTGGATGTTCAATAGCTATATACGGACGCCCAATAGCTATATATGGACGTTCAATAGCTATATACGGACGCCCAATAGCTATATACGGACGTTCGATAGCTAAGTGATACCTGCTGAGGAAGAAACTTTCTTCGCGCGCATGGCCATCGTCAGGCTCCGCAAGAGACCCCTGCCATTACCATGTCAATTGTCAGGATCCGCAATCAACGGACCTCCCATTTCCGTGTGTGAGCAGTATAGTGATATAGCTTTTTACTTGATGACCATAGCGTTTGGGTCAACTGAAATTTGCATGACCATGTTTGAATTCCTAACGTAGCCCAGTAGATGGTGCTAGTCCAGCAGTGGACTTAAATAGGCTGATGATTATTAATAACTATATACGGACGCCCAATAGCTAGATGATCTTTCACAGTTATAGATGATCTTACATGATGACCGCTGGGGAAGAAACTTTCACTTATTTTACTCTTGCTTACTTTGAAATAAAAATTGAGTTCTGTGTTTCTTTCTTTAGATAAATTTGTAAAACCGGTACGCCGCGCCGATCACATGCGGGCTGAACCGATTTGTATTTATGTATGGAATAGACTAGGCAAACATTTAAAAAATATGTTATTCCTACTGCGGCATCTTCTCATGTAAAAATCTCATAGAAACCTCAATTTTTTGCATCTTGTTACCAATATTATACCAATATCGGGCATTAGTATATGTATTGATAGATTTTACGAATATTGTAATACTGTTAAAACTCTGTCCCAGACGAGTGACAAGAGAGAGGAAAAGAAAGAGACAAGTGAACCCAAAGCTGGCAACGTTGCACTCGCAAATACCATCCACGCTGTGAGGACGTTAATTAGCCGAAGCCATGGTTAAATCACGTTCAATATATCTAGGAGCCCAATTAGTTATCACGATGGTTTGGGGTTCAAAAATGTTGCAGCATGACTGCAAGAAGAATATCGCGAAAAATAAAATTATCGGAAAATGACGTATCCTACAAAGCTGGAAATCGAATAACTAAGCAATATTCATCAAGACATATTAAAAATGTTAAGGGGAACTGGGGGACGTCGTAATGATGCGCGACATGTGTGACGCCAAAACGATTCTAGGATGTAAATATATATATATATATATATATATATGTCTTTATGTATACAATTCTCCTGTACGTGTGTACGTCATTGAACTCCTTCTAACGGCTTGACCGATTTAAATGAATTTTTCTGTATGCGTTTGAGAGGCGCCCTGGATGGTTTAGATTCACAAATCAGCCCGGCAGATGGCGCTGCAGTCGTCATCTTTTTTTAACCCGTATAGTATACACTCCCGTGAGGTTTCAGTGATTAAAACTCCATTTGAATTCCAATCAAATAGGTACAGCGGTTGAAAATTATCATACACTATATTTATGTTAAAAAAAACCAAGGAAATATAAAGGTCTTGATTCGCTGATGATCTTGCCTTACCTATAAAACAGCCAGTCGTCCTTGGCCGACGCTAGCGCCACCAGTAGCGCTCTGTGGGAGTAGAGAGGTCGCGGCGCGGCGTACGACGCGGTCAGAGCGCGCCAGCACGCCTGCCACGCTGGTTGGCCGTGGGTTCGGACCCCGGCTGTAAACGCCGCCTGAGGTGAGGGGAAAAAGGGGTAAATATTTACAGAAGAACAATGTTGATTATTGTTATCTTTTAAAAGTTTTTGAACACTTTTAGTGGAGTAAAATAAACGCAATTTTCAAAAGAGTTTAGGAATAATTCCGACCTGGTAAAAAAATCATTTCTGATATACTTTGCCCGGTACTCTACTCTCGGACGGCGAGCATGTCCCCGTCCGACCAGAAACAGACCCGAGCGTACGGCGCCCAGCGTGTAGCGCGCGCCTCTAGAAGCCATCAGACCACCACGGATAGGGTCCAATAGGGCTGATGCCGATACGAAGTCGCGGAGAACCTAACGGGTTACCGGGGCTCCGGCTCGAAGTGCAGGAGAAGGAACGGGGTGGTTTTTAGTCAGTAAGAGTCTGACACTAGGAACGGGGTGGTCTTTAGTCAGTAAGAGTCTGACACTCCCTCCCGCCTCGCCCAGGCGGGAGAAGTCATTCGATGACTTTACCTCCTTCTAAAAAAAACCTAACTGTAACAAAATTCTTTACAAATGATACCAGAAGCTTCATATTTGCTTCCAAAACTCATTGCTGTGCATTTTTTGGAGTATCAAACATATTGAATAGATATTTTAGTCTTTCTTCACTACATAGTATAAAACAAAGTCGCTATCCGCCTTCTGTCTGTCCCTATATATGCTTAGATCTTTAAAACTACGCAACGGATTTTGATGCGATTTTTTTTAATGGTTAGAGTGATTCTTAACCCTTTGAGTACCGTCACTATATAGACACAATCAAAGAACAATAGGTTGCTGTCACCGGTTTCCTCGCGGTATTTGACAGTTTAAGGAAGGTTTATATGTATAATACATGTGTATTGCACCCGTGGTAAGATGGGGCGGGTCGGTAGTGCTATATATATCTTAAAAGACGCCGTCTGTTACTCCTCTGGTGTTTCGTGTGTCCTTGGACGGTGCCATTTGCTTACCATTAGGAGATCCACCTGCTCGTTTGCACCCATATTACAAACCTGTACAGGTGATTCGCCTGTGATACAGGGCTTTCCTAGTACAGGCAACTGTATAAGGTCTACATCGCTTATCCTTACTAATATTATAAATCGGAAAGTGAGTTTGTTTGTTTGTTTGTTCCGACTTCACGCCGTAACTACTAAACCGATTGTATTGAATTTTTGCAGACGTAAAGTTAGTAGTCTGGATTAAATAATAGGGTACTTTTTGTCCCGACAAATTTGATATTCCCGAGGGAAAACAAAAGTATTAGTATAGATGGCGCTGTATGTATTGGTATATGTCACATAGGCTATATTTTATCCTTTTGTGACGCGAGCAAAGCGGCGGGTAAAAGCTAGTTAAGAAAATATTTTGTATTTTGCTCATTTTATCATCAATAAAGATTATTCTATTCTATTCTTATACCTCCTGGTAAATATCAGGTATAGTCTGGTTAGTCTCCAGCCAGGCGTCGAACAGCTCCACAGCTTGTTTGGTGACATCTGGGTTCTCCCACTCAACTCCTGCTGTTAAGAGAGCGCCGCTTAACCAACTGAAAAGGGAGAGAATTATGTTTTAAACGCGTGGGAGTTTTAAGAAGATGACTCCAACAAAGTCTTTCTGACTGGATTTAGGTGTTGCATTGTTCTCACATAATCGAACCAATAAAACTATGTAACTAGAGAATTGTATTGTAAACCTGATTGAAAAAGAGTAACCTATGGAGTTTCTTGCTCGTTCTTCTCCATAGGAATCTACGCCTTGGAATGAGCAACTAGCTTCACTTATAAATTTTTGTTGTTTGACGTTCAAAACTGCCATCCTGGTCTAATTGAAATAAATGATTTTGACTTTGACTTTGACTTTGAAAGGATTTCAAAATCGCCATCGACCCTCACGACAGCATATGCATCCCCATCATAATATAGATGGTTGGCAGGCCAGAACTGTGCGCTTCTCACGTAGCTTTCTGCCTCGCACAGCAAAACTGTGGAATGATCCTGTCGTCGGCGGTATTTCCGGACCGATACGACCTTCAAACCTTCAAGAAAAGAGTGTACTCCTTTTTAAAAGGCCGGCAACGCACCTGTGACTCCTCTGGTGTTGCTGGGCGGCGCTTGCTTACCATCAGGTGATCCGTCTGCTCGTTTGCCTCCTATACTATAAAAAATAACATTTTCTACTTACAGTAAATCTTCTCCCAGTCCAGCGCCCTGCAGCTGCTCGTTGGAGTAAACCACGACTTTGGCTGGATGTAAGGTCTTCAGGAGTTTGTTTAGGTGAGGACCTGAACTCGCCAGCATGAGCAGTTCCCTCCACCAGGAGAGGTGGTTCAGGACTACTCGCCATGGAGCCCAATGAGTTTCTGAACTTAGTCGAGCTGGAAAATGAATGGTTGAATTGGACGTCGTTGGCCGAGGACTGCCTCGTTGGCCGAGAGGTCGCAATTGCGACTGCCGGGTAAGGGGTCTCAGGTTCGATTCCCGGGTCGGGCAAAGTATTATTGGGTTTTTAAAAAAATCTCAGTAGTAGCACGGAGTCTGGAACTGTGCCCGGTATATGGCAATAGGCTCACCCCCTATTACATGGGACTCATAACATAAATAGTAGTGAAAAGTAGGTGTTACATTGTACAGTGGCATAATGTGCACCTCTGCCTACCCCTTCGAGGATAAAAGGCGTGATGTTATGTATGTATGAAATGGACGTTACACACGCACACATAAATAACCCACCGCCATTATGGTGCTTCAATCGTTTAAGTGACAATTGTCGGAATACTCAAACGCTACTCAATTTTAAGTCGTGCTTAAGTATAGTTCTATCTCCACTAATTCTTTGTAACGAATGGAGTTTCTTGCTCGTTCTTCTCCATTCGAATCTACATTTTGGAATGAGCACCTAGCTTCACCTAGCTTCACTGACGGACTGATTGACAGACTATTATTTATTTTGTATTTGTTGACGTTTCAAAAGTACCAAACTATGGTTTAATTGAAATAAATGCACGACTTAAAATTGAGTAACGTTTCAGTATTTCGGCAAATGTCGCCTTAATACTGAGAGGCTACACAATTTGAAGTTGTTCTTAAATATGTATTTTTTTATAGCATTAACCCCTAAACGAGCAGACGGATCACCTGATGGTAAGCAATCGGCGTCGCCCATGAACACTTGGAACACCAGAGGCGTTACAAGTGCGTTACCGGCCTTTTGGGGATTGGGAGTTTGAGGATTGTTGGAGATTCAGGGATTGGAGATGCTACGAAGGGAGGGGGGAGGGTAATTGGGCCTCCGGTAACCTCACTCACACGACGACACAACGCAAGCGTTACTTCACGTCGGTTTCCTGCTCGGCCGTGGTATCACACCGGTCGAGCCGACCCAGCAGTGCCGAAGGATGGCTCTCCCACACTTCAATTGATATCGTGCCATCTCTGTCATTTTACAAACATTCTTTTTCTTTTTTGAAAAAACGTTGCCCCACATTAGGATTTTCTCCTATGTCGTGGGTGCGTTTACAATCATACAAGTTCACATACACAATGACACCCAGATCCGAAACAACCACCACGCCAACAACCACCAAGCCACCGCACCAATTGTACAATGTAACACTCACTTTTCACCATTTATGTTATGAGTTCCATGTAATAGGGGGTGAGCCTATTGCCATATACCGGGCACATTTCTAGACGCCGTGCAGTGGATCATAGTAGATGTAGATGGTGTATACTCACCGGCGGCAGCGACGGCCCTGCTGGCGGGCAGCCTGCCGGCGCGGCTCAGCACGAAGGCGTCGTCCAACAACAGCGCGCGCTCCGCCGCCGCGCCGCTCGCGTACAGCTCCGCGGCACGAGACGCCGCTGATTCCGCTGACTGGAAGGAAGGGTGAACAAAAAAAATATATACATAAAGTCAAAGTCAAAGCATTTATTTCAATTAAACCATAGGTTTGGTACTTTTGAAACGTCAACAAATCCTTACTAATCCTTACTAATATTATAAATTGGAAAGTGAGTTTGTTTGTTCCGATTTCACGCCGTAACTACTAAACTGATTGCTTTGAATTTTTGCAGACGTAAAGGTAGTAGTCTGGATTAAATAATAGGGTACTTTTTATCCCGGAAAAAATGATATTCCCGAGGGAAAACAAAAGTATTGGTATAGATGGCGCTGTATGTATTTGTATATGTCACATAGGCTACTTTTTATCCTTTTGTAACGCGAGCGAAGCCGCGGGTAAAAGCTAGTCTAATAATAAAATATTAATAAAGTATACGATTTTTTGGTATAAATATATATAGTAAGACATACTAATTTAATAAAGTATACAAGAAAACTAGTTTCAAGTCATATCGACACAGCACTCTTATTCATGAGTAGAGATCACGGACTTTGGTCGCAAGAGGGTTCAGATGGTTTACGTGAGAACATAAGCCGTAATTTTTGACAATTTAACTTATTCTTACCTCTCCATCAGTCCTGTCCTGCGGCGCCACTCGATACAGTCCTCTCGCTCCCACATTATATCGCACCCATTTATGCTTGCCCAGGTCTGGTATTACCACTGTAAAAGGAAAAAAAACATTGTTTTTATATATTTTTTTTCAATGTGAATCTTGTGTCGTGAATGCGGTTATAAACGTATTAATTAATTCTATTCACATACACAACATTCATATCACACACAAACAACAATTTGTGTATTATATTGATGTTATTTTTTACATTAATATATTTAGGTACATATAAAACTATAAAACTTAAAAATTAACAAAGAAAATAAAACATAACTATTTGTTTATTGACGCTTATGCACAGAAAAATGCAAATAATTAAAGACGTCGTACTCAGCGCCAAACTTTAATCCTAAGTACATGCGCCATCTACAAAATGATTCCCGAACTAAATTTTATACTTTTTTTAAACGTTGCCTCACACAAGGATTTTCTTCTGTGTCGTGTGGGCGTTTAAAAAGATACAAGTTGACATACACATGACACCCAGACCCGGAACAACAATTTGTGAATGATACAAATAGTTGGTCTGTGCGAGAATCGGATCCGTGACATGTTACGTGTCAGCCCGTTGCCCAGCCACTGCACCAACCGTGCCGTTTTTTTTTTATAGCATGAGCCGGTAAACGAGCAGACGGATCACCTGATGGTAAGTAATCGGCGTCGCCCATGGACATACGAAACACTAAGGCGTTACAAGTGCATTACCGGCCTTTTGGGAATTGAGAATTTGAGGATTGTGGAGGATTCGGGGATTCGGGACACTAGGGAGGGGGGGTAATTGAGTCTCCGGTAACTTCACTCACACGACGAAACACAACGCCTATGTGTTAAATTATGCAAATAAATTAGATGACTTACTTTCAGTATCATTCATCCATATCAAATGAGTGACGTTTTCAGCCCATCGGGATGAAACTTTAGCTGTCTTGTTGTCTGTAGTCACATCGTACCTGAAATAAAACAAACAAACATACATACATACATATAAATATACAACGCAATAAACATTTCTTACTCCTTCAAAGGAAACAAAAATATTAAAATGACACTTTTAGTCAATTTAACTGTGTGTTGTAGACTTTATTAGTCCTGGACATGGGTTGAAACCAGTTGAGCATCCTCAAAAAATTACGAGAAGAAGCCATATTATTTATAATTATTTTAATAGCTTATGAGTACCCACTGCTGTCCTCACACGCCAAAAGCCTCTTCTCAACAGAAAACGTTTGAGCATTAATCACCACGCTTGCTCAATGCGGGTCTGCGATTTCAAACTTATAATTAGAAATCATAAACCCAGGTTTCCTTCACCGTTTGTCAGTGGTGTCTAAATAATCTTAGAAAGTACATTAAACTCGGAAAAGTCACATTGGTATTTGCCTTACCAAGGCAAATATCAATAATTAAGCGTATTGTAACACCTTATTCACATTATGGTATGCAATTAAATGAATATGAATAAAAAAAAGATTTAATCTTACTTCTTGCTAAAATTAAAAAAAGTTTGTCTGTATGTTGTTATGTTACTCAATCACATCAAAACGGCTGAAGGGTAGACCTCTGTTTCAAATTTCAACCCGATCCCTTCTGCCTTATAGCCTGGAAAAACACATAGGCTACTATTTGTCCCACGGAACGCAGGTGAAACCGCGGTCAGAAGCTAGTCGTATGATACAAACACTTTTTTTTTGAGGGGGAAAAATCATCCTATTACTTCTCCCGCCCGTGTGAGGCGTGAGGGAGTGTCAGACTCTTACTGACTAAAAACCACCCCGTTCCTTCTCCTGCACGTCGAGCCGGAGCCCCGGTAACACGATAAGCCCTCCGCGGCTCCGTATCGGTAACAGCCCTATTGCGCCCCATCTGTGTCGCGTCTATCCGTACGCTCGGGTCTGGTTCTGGTCGAGCGGCGCCACTCATGCTCGCCGTCCGCAGGCCCGTGCTTTCTGTGGCCGGAGATCGTATGATACAAACACTTACCAAGTAGCATTATGATAATTCTGAGTGACATTCTTCCAAGCTGTTATATTAGCCTCTTCTTCTTCACTGTCTAAAGGGCCTACGACGAAGGTCACCGGTATTATCCACTTGTGTGGGGGCGCCTTTGTAGTTTTAACTGTGACGCGACGCGTGGTGGTGGGAGGAGGAGTTGTTGTCGTTGAATTCAAATCCTCTTCTGTATCTGTGAAGTTTTCTGTAAAGGAGAAGAGTTAGAATGAGTTAAAAAGACGCTAAAATACTAAAATTATCTTCGTTGTATATTATTAATAATTCGCGTTTTTTTATAATGCCACTGTAGGTACAATGTAACACCCACTTTTCACTATTTATGTTATGAGTCCCATGTAATAGGGGGTGAGCCTATTGCCATATACCGGGCACAATTCCAGACTCCGTGCTACTACTGAGAGTTTTTTTTTAAATCCATTAAACTTTTGCCCAACCCGAGAAAAACCCGAGGCTCCTTGCCCAGCAGTTACGACCACTCAGCCAACGAGGCTGTCTAATAAGGCAAAATTATAGTTAGAACGCATTTTATTTTAATAAGTCCTTAATTATTTACTTTTGAAACGTCAAAATTGAACTGTCCGTGAGTCTGTGTGTGTATATCAGTGAAGTTACGTAGCCATGAGAACTGTTAAGAGCTCCGGTTTAGTTTGAAAGTAGTCGGGCGTTCCTCGTAATAGAAAACTTGTAATATACTAGAATATTACGTTGATTAGATCGTACTGAAAAATGTCCACAAATTGTTGATACAAAAATAGTCTTTAAACAATGGAAATAAGGTCTATAATGAAGTTAGTTGAGAGTGGTCACTGGTGAACACTTGGGAATTGAACAGATATTAAAGAAATGTAAAAAAAACAACGAAATTTTTTTTATGGAATAGGATGCAAACGAGCATACGGATCACCTGACGGTAAGCGATCAGCGCCGCCAATGGACACCCGCAACACCAGAGGAGTCACAGGTGCGTTGCCAAAGAAAAACTTTACGTTTACAAAGAACTTATTTCTATCCAGTTAACTTCTGTTTGAATTTTGATTAATTGAAATATGTTTTTTTATGGATTAATATCTCGCGTGTTTCTCGTACACACGGGTGTACGAGAGAGTTGAGTGGCCATCGCGCAATTGTACACACGGGTGTACGAGAAACGCGCACCGATTGGACATTTTTTCTGTGACGTATATTTTCAAGTTTGCAACCCGTTCTTTATTTGATTGAACAGAATAGTTAATTCGCTTTTCTATTAAAATATTTACCCGTGTGTACGAGAACGCGCGAGAGGATAAGCCGCCAAGCAAGCAGTATGGTAAAGCTGAAGAGTTTGTTTTTTTGTTTGTTTGTTTGATCGCGATAATCTCCAAAACTATTGGTCTGATTTGGAAAATTCTTTCTGTGTTGGATAGCCCATTTATCGAGGAAGGCTATAGGCTATCTTTTTTTTTATGGCATAAGCCGGTAAACGAGAAGACGGATCACCTGATGGTAAGCAATCGGCGTCGTCCATGGACTCCCGCAACACCAGACGAGTTCCAAGTTCATTACCGACGTTAAACGGATTGACTAGACAATTTCTCACCCGGTTCATAGAAGAGTTCATCAAGCTCCGCTCTTAGGTCCAACGTAAGTAGATAGTTCACCATAGGCGGGTCTGGTTCTGGGGGCTCAGCTGACATCACGAATCTGCAAGTAATAAAGAATACATAACATTATAATATCACGTCTTTTATCCCGGAAGGTTTACGCCACTGTACAATGTAACACCGACTTTTCACTATTTTATGTTATGCACCTTGACGGATAGAGCTTTTATGTGTGGGAGAGCCATGCTTCGGCACGAATGGGCCGGCTCGACCAGAGTGATACCACGGCCTTACAGAAAACCGACGTGAAGCAACGCTTGCGTTGTGTTTCGCCGTGTGAGTGAGGTTACCGGAGGCTCAATTACCCTCCCTTTCCCCAATCTCCCCAATTCCTGAATCCCCAACGATCCTCAAACTCCTAATCCCCAGAAGGCTGGTAACGCACTTGTAATGTTCCAGGTGTCCATGGGCGACGCCGATTGCTTACCATCAAGTGATCCCTCTGCTCGTTTACCGGCTTATGCCATAAATAATAGCCTATAGCCTTCCTCGATAAATGGGCTATCCAACACAGAAAGAATTTTCCAAATCGGACCAATAGTTTTGGAGATTATCGCGTTCAAACAAACAAAAAACAAACTCTTCAGCTTTATAATATTAGTATAGATTTGTTGACGACTTAAAAGTTATGATTTAATTGAAATAAATAGTTACTTTTGAGTTTAAGTATGAAAAAAATTATGAATTCACCTCTCCTGTTTCAGTAGTACATCAGTCCCCATGGAGCTGGCACACAGTAGCGGGTACCCGGGCCGCTCACACCACCCGTCCCACGCCGCGCCGCCCAGACCGTCGTCCGAGCCGTCTCGCTCTAACGCACGCCATAAGTCCCTGGAAGGACAGAGATAACAATACTTACTTCTACTGGTTTCTTCTAGATTTCATAATTTTAGACATCCGCACACCAGAGCTACCAGAAGAATCCTTCAGCCATATGAATAGAAGAAAGCTGTTTTCTTGAAAAATATCATCATCAACAGCCTATAAATGCCCACTGCTGAGCAAAGCCTCTTCTCACACGGAGAAGGTTTGAGCATTAATCACCACGCTTGCTCAATGCGGGTTGGCGATTTCAAACTTATAATTAGAAATTATAAGTCCAGGTTTCCTCACGATGTTTTCCTTCACCGTTTGTCAGTGGTGTCTGAATAATCTTAGAAAGTACATATAACTCGGAAAAAGTCACATTGGTACTTGCCGTTGGTAGGTTTCTAACCTGCACCCTCGAGCATGAGAAGCGGGCGTCTTAAACCTCCGGGCCACCACGACAACTTGAAAAATATGGCTTTCTTGATCGACTTCACAGTAACACGATAAGGTAATTGCACAACTTGATTCCCCCTAGTCCTTTCCATCATCGTACCACAAGACAATCGGCGAAGCGATTCATGGTAGATGTCCCACCCACACACACGAAGCGCTTCGCATCAAGCTTCCTTGTGCGTACTGCCAAGGAGTGGAATTCTTTGCCAGAGTCTGTATTTCCTGAAGGGGTGTCTTCAAGGCCCGAGTGAATAGGTTGCTTATGGGACGACGTGCTCTATCGTAGACCGCATCATCGCTTACCACCAGGCGAGATAGTGGGCAAACGTCGCCACATCAAATATAAAAAAATATGTATATTAAAAAAGTAGATACTTATTTTAAACTACTTTTTTACATTTACTTTTTACGTGGGTGCGTTTACAAATATACAGGTACAACAATTTGTAGATTATTATCCACGGCAGCTAATTGCCCAGCCACCTAATCAACCGTGCAATGATAACTAAACTTTATACAGTCTGATCGTCGGACAGGACAATCTATTTAGTCCGTACGTTAGGTAATGAGAAAATATTAGACACGTATGTTTTTATAACATATAACATCACGCCTTTTTATAGAATAATAAAATAGAATAATAATCTTTATTGTAAAGATAGTATGCCACTCACAAGTTCAACCCCACGTCCGAGCTGACCATCTATGCTCACGTGAGTGGCGGACAACCGCAAACGAAATAACATTTGCGGGTGACCAACGGGGCTCTGGCAACCCAGAAAATATGGAGAGTAATAAAAGGAATAAACGTTTAACGCCGCTACCCGGGGGCTATCGCCGGGACACGTCTGTGGCTGGTGACGGGCGTGTAGCAGGGCTAGCCAGCGACTCTCTGCTGAACAGGCGGGCAGGAGTCGGGGTGGGAGAAGAGAGGGGCGCCCCAAATATTACAGCCGACCACCCTGAGGATGATACTTTGCGGAGTGGGGAAATATCTCCAGTCAGCTCCGTCGGTACATCCCACTCGACCACGTTAACATTGAATGAAGATACACGCAGAAAGTGGTCAAACGCAGAACTTAAAGAACTTATATTTTGCTTTTATCGCGCTAGAGCATTAGGACCAGGATACATCAAACGATTAGAGACATTATTCAGAAGCAGAAACCCCAATAACCCCAAAGCATTCACATTTACTGGCAACACATTATCAACACAGGCAAGAAGTATAATAGCCCGGCAAAAAATACCCATAGAAATCCTTAATGAAATAAAAAGTAGAGCAGAAGAACCCACACTACAACCTGAGCAAACTCACAACACCCGTAGCTCACGCGAACCAACACCCAGTATCACTCACACTATAGATACCTCACAACACGCGGAATATACTGACACTAACATACAACAACATTGCACACAGTCCAGAACTACACCACCCGGGGTAGCAGAGGATCCTGGGCCACCACCCATTGAGACAGTAGGCGATGACAGAAGAAGACGATGGAGTCATGAGGAAATGATAGAACTTATGTTCTGTTACTATAAAGCGCGTTCAACAGGATCAGGATATATAAATAGACTACAACGTATATATATTGAAAGAAACCCGCACAACTCTAAAATCAATCGATTTAATGGCTATTCTTTATCTACACAAGCACGTACAATAATAAAAAACAATATGCTCTCACAAGAATTACTGAACCGCATAAAGCAAAACGCAGAAGGAATAGTAGAGGTAGCTGAAAACACTGAAACAGTTAATAATGCTAACTCAGATACACAACATGACATTCAAGACACTCACGCGCAAGCATACACACCAGACGAAGTTCAAACAATAATACAGGCAACACAAAACATATTAGAGAGTGAAAACCAGGACCCAATCATATTGAGCTTTTTAAGCACCCTGTCAGGGGTAAGAGAAACACCTATTGCAGACAGAAAACTATTACCTAAAGCTAATTTTAACAAACAATTCTTTAAAAACTGCCATAAACTAAATATATACTTACCAAACCTTTTAGAGATAAACACCACACTAAGAGAAATAAATGACATCATTTACGCAGCCGCTAAAACCCTAATAATCAACAATAACCAAACACCATATAAACCAAGCAATATAATAAAACCCTCAAAAATCCCCACCTGGAAAATACGAATTCAAAAGAAGATAAACAAGTTTAGGAAAGAGCTAGCTAGATTAATAGAAATAGAAAGAGGAGTTAGGTCGCCTAGAATGGACAGGAGTAGGGCATACTTGTACAATAAATACAACATACAAAGCGAAAACGATCATAAAAATATATCAGAAATGTTAAAACAGAAAATAAAAGCATTAGCAGGGAGAATAAAAAGGTACGAGGATGCAAACAGTAAGAGAGAACAAAACAAACTATTTAAAGAAAATGAGCATAAATTATATAGAAGCTTAGGTAACCATACAGAACCGCAGGAAATTAAAATACCTAGTAAAGAAAACGTAGAGCAGTTCTGGAGTTCCATTTTATCTAATCCTATAAAATATAATACTGACGCTGTATGGATAAAAGAAATAGAAGAATCAATGTCAGAAGTGAATACAATAGAACCGGAAGAAATAACAATAGATAAAATTAAATATGCAATTAAAAAGCTACACAACTGGAAAACACCGGGAATAGATAAAATTCAAAACTATTACCTGAAATATTTAACAAGCACTCATAAATACAACAACATAACATAACATAACATCACGCCTTTTATCCTCGAAGGGGTAGGCAGAGGTGCACATTATACCACTGTACAATGTAACACCCACTTTTCACTATTTATGTTATGAGTCCCATGTAATAGGGGGTGAGCCTATTGCCATATACCGGGCACAGTTCCAGACTCCGTGCTACTACTGAGAATTTTTAAAAAACCCAGTAATACTTTGCCCGACCCGGGAATCGAACCCGAGACCCCTTGCCCGGCAGTCGCAATTGCGATCACTCGGCCAACAAGGCAGTCATAAATACATTGCCAAATTATTCACTAAAATAGTTCAGGGAACTGAAAACCTAGAAGAGTGGTTTACAACAGGTCAGGTTATACTTGTTCCCAAAAATACTGATACTGAAAACCCGAAAAACTGGAGACCTATCGCGTGTCTACCCAGTATGTACAAATTATTAACTTCAGTGCTAGCTGACGTTTTATACAATCACTGCAGTAACAACAACATAATGGCTGCAGAACAACGTGGATGCAGACGTGGTACGCGAGGCTGTAAGGACCATCTCATGGTCAATAAGGCCATATTGGAGGACGCACACGCATCGCAGAAAAACTTGAGCATGGCGTGGATAGACTATCAAAAAGCCTTCGATAGTGTGTCCCACGAATGGCTTCTTAAAGTTCTTGATATCTATAAGTGCCCATCCATGATCAAGCGATTCTTAGAGATGACTATGCCATCTTGGAAAGTCATGATGACAGCCAAAGGTACCCACGAATCAATCACTACTGAGCCGATTTCCATCAGACGCGGTATATTCCAGGGTGACTCTTTGTCACCTCTGCTGTTTTGCCTTGCCATCAACCCAGTTTCCCATATTTTAAACAAATACGAATTTAAAGGATACAAACTTAGAGACAGTTATTACATTAACCACCTGCTATATGGATGATCTAAAGATATATGCAAACAATAGAAGTAACTTAAAGACACTGTTAGATAGCTTAGAAATATTTACAATAGACGTAGGTATGAAATTTGGACTACATAAATGCAACGTGCTACACTTAAATTTAGGACATCGGAGTGGTACTACTGGGGAAGGACACGTTCTGCTCAGTGGTGAGGAGTTCAGTGAATTAGGACTAGGAAACACATACAAGTACTTAGGTGTAAGCGAATCAGGGAAGATAGATCATAGTGCCATCAGAGAACAGGTAATCAAAGAATATTTTAAAAGAGTCAAAAAGCTACTGAACTCACACTTAAATTCACGCAATATTATAAAAGGCATCAATACTTACGCTATTCCAATTCTTTTATATTCACTTGCTATCATTTACTATAAAAATAGTGACCTTAAGAAAATAGATACAAAAACTAGAAAATTACTTGCAATGAATAAAGCACACCAGCAAAAAGCAGACGTAGAAAGACTATACTTACCGGTTACGTATGGAGGTAGGGGATTAATAAATGTAGAAAACATTAAAGCACAAATAATAAAGTACAAGCAATATCTTAGAGTAGAGCAGGATCACCTAATAAAAACAATAGTTCAACATGATATAAATAAAGATAAATACTCAATAATTAAAGAAGCAGAAGAAATAGAATCTGAACTAGAGCTAGCAATAGACCATAGACATACAGATAGGGAAATTAAGGATGCCATAATTAGAAATCAGATTAACAGATGGCACAATAAACCACTTCACGGACAGTTTGCAAAAAAAGTTTTAGAGCAAGAGAATATAGATATAGTGCAGTCATTCAAGTGGATTAAAAAGCAACAGGTCTCCCCATCAATAGAATCATCCGTGTTTGCGATACAGGACCAAGCGGTTATGACGCGACAACATCAACGCGACATCCTGAAAGACCCAGTAGACGGTAAGTGCCGACTGTGCGCTATCAAGGATGAAACTGCGCAGCATAATATCTGGCTGCGAAAAACTGGCAGGAACCTATTATGTCAAACGGCATAATAATCTTGTCCAGTATGTCTACTGGTGTCTTGCTCGTAAGCATAGCATGGACGTTGACAAACTTTGGTGGAAAGAGACTCTCACCCAACCCAAAGTAGTTGAAAATGAAACAGGCAAAATAATGTGGGAAATCCCAATTCAGACAGACATCACAGTTGCCCCAATAGACCGGACATAATATACACAAACAAAACATCCAACACCACATACCTCATTGACATAACCGTACCAAGTGACTACAACATAGGAGCAAAAGAAATAGAGAAGTTGAGTAAATACCACCTTTTAAAGACAGAGATAAGACGCCTGTGGAATACTGAAACACATGTTATTCCCATAGTAATAGGAGCCACAGGAGTAGTAGCCAAAAGCCTCAGCAGATACACAGACAAACTAGAAACATCAATAGACATTACAATTCTTCAGAAGCAAGCCGCCATTCACACAACAACCATTCTTAGCAAAGTATTAGGAGACACAGTATTCGTCACAAACATTCCAGATTCCGATCAATTACAACCATCTCAAGCACACACACCACATACCACTCAATCAACCATCACACAAAACTCGCAATCCACAACTTTCATACAAGCTACACCCACACAAAACTCAGAACCACACACAGACAGTGTCATTAGTCAAGAAGTCAGCAGAAGAGGAAGGAGATATAGAAACTAAATTTAGAAGGGGGCTATGAGCATCGTTTTTCCTGCGGGTCGCGGGACGCGGTGCCCATTTTCACCGGGTCAACCCCGAGAAGGAGAAATCTCCAACATCATTTAAGATAGTATATCGAACTACAAATTAGAGAAAATACGGTACAAAGGCGGCCTTATCGCTAAAAGCGATATCTACCAGGCAACCTTTGGGGGGATAGAACATTACAATAATATGTATATTAAATGAGGTAGTTATAGCTTGGTGAACTGAGGTGCTTATTTGTTATGTAAAACTGACTTTTTATCCCCGAAGGGGTAGACAGAGGTGCACATTGCCACCGTGCAATGTAACACCCACTTTTCACAATTTATGAGTCCCATGTAAAGGGGGTGAGCCTATTGCCATATACCGGGCACAATTCCAGACTCCGTGCTACTACTGAATTTTATTTAAATCCAGTAATACTTTTCCGACCCGGGAATCGAAACCCGAGACCCCTTGCGAGTCGCACTTGCGACCACTCGGCCAACGAGGCAGTATATTTTTATTTTGTCGTATAATAAAACAATACTTAAATAAAACGAATCAAAGTTTAGGAGTGGGGGCTAAACTGTCATTTCTACGTATAAAATGTACGTACATAGAAGTGACGTCACGCGAGATTTCAAATCAATATATCGTCGAAAGTATTCGTTTCTGTAAGAAAATAAAAAATACGTGTCTATTGATTTAAAGTAATCTATCAGACGAATATTGAAATAAAAATTAGGCATCTACCCTATTATTATTGTCGCGGAGAACCTAACGGTTAACCGGGGCTCCGGCTCGACGTGCAGGAGAAGGAACGGGGTGGTTTTTAGTCAGTAAGAGTCTGACACTCCCTTCCGCCTCACCCAGGCGGGAGCAGTCATTCGATGATTTTCCCGCCTTAAAAAAAACCCTATAATTATTACCTTGCATCCGCGCTAGCAAATCGATGATCTCTCAACAGTCGTGCCAGTGCAGCGCGTCCTGCTGCCTCGCCCGCCGCTTCAATCGCCATACTTACTATGGCTGCACCCTAAACACAAAACAAATGGTCATAACTAAGTCAACTAAAACACTTTTGAAAGTCAAGAATCCTATAAATCCTTACTAATATTATAAATCTGAAAGTGAGTTTGTTTGTTTGTTTGTTCCACCTTCACGCCGTAACTACTCAACCGATTGCTTTGAATTTTTGCAGACGTAAAGTTAGAAGTCCGGATTAAATAATAGGGTACTTTTTAACCCGGAAAAATTGATATTCCCAAAGAAAAACAAAAGTATTGGTATAGATGGCGCTGTGTGCATTGGTATATGTCACATAGGTTACTTTTTATTCTTTTGTGACGCGAGCGAAGCCGCGGGTAAAAGCTAGTAATGAATATAACATAACGTCACGCCATTTATCCCCGAAGGAGTAGACAGAGGTGCACATTACGGCACTGCCACTGTACAATGTAACACCCACTTTTCATTATCCATGTTTATGAGTCCCTTGGAATAGCGGGTGAGCCTATTGCCATATACCGGGCACAATTCCAAACTCTGAGCTACTACTGAATTTTTTTTATAAAACCCAGTAATACTTTGTTCGACTCGGGAATCGAAACCAACCCATTGCCCAGCAGTCGCACTTGCGACCACTCGGCCAACGAGGCAGTATTTTAAGTAAGGAAACCACATAATTACCTTATGCAAAGACAATTCATCCGTAGCACTTTCTATGTCAGCTCTCTCTAGCCGCGGTGACGCTACCGCTCGCACTGAGTTACTGGAGTCCAATCTGTAATTCAAATATACATGATTATAAATGTTCTGAAGAACATATGTATAAGTGTTCTAGGCGATTTTATTATAGGTAGAACGTCCATGAACTTTATTAAACAATAGCTTTTACCCGCGGCTTCGCTTGCGTCACAAAAGGATAAAAAGTAACCTATGTGACATATACCAATACACACAGCGCCATCTATACCAATACTTTTGTTTTTCCTCGGGAATATAAATTTTTTCCGGGTTAAAAAGTACCCTATTGTTTGATCCGGACTTCTAACTTTACGTCTGCAAAAATTCAAAGCAATCGGTTGAGTAGTTACGGCGTAAAGGTGGAACAAACAAACAAACAAACTCACTTTCAGATTTATAATATTATATAGTAAGGATAGAATTAGAATGCTCTTCCCATTCAGTTTACAATCATCGCCTTCTCTTCATTAAAAGCGAATGGTACAAATGGCATGGGTGCCCACACTGACTGGGTGACCCTTTTAGCATAGGCATGTTGTCAGCGTCTCTCTTTTTCAACCCAATGTTTTTATTACTTCTACTGTCACACTTTTATTGTCTTTTTTACATTTTATTTATGCTGCATCGTACCTGGTGCTGAACAAATGTTTTTTCTTTCTTTCTTCTTTCGAATGCAAGCGTGACCGACTCAAAGAGCAGAGACATAAGTATAGGGGAACACCGACTTTAAAAATCGACACCTGTCGTTTTTAGAGTATCTGTCGTAGGTACCCATCTATTGTTTTTTGCTTACCAGGCGCTTAAGTAGCGACAAAACAAACCCTACGATAAGTTAAGGCCGGCCTTGATGAACAAAATCTTAATCTGACTTAAGCGTCTGCAGGCAGCAGCGCGGAGGCGGCGGCATCGCGGTGGGCACCGCTTGACTGGAGTGCACAGCTTGTTGCCCGCTGCCGCGCCGCTGTTTTCGAGAACCGGTCCATTTGATTTTTACGCATAAGATCCTGCCGCTCTCCCTAAATAGATCACTTTCGAGAGTTACTCGAAAACTATCGAACGAACTTGATCGTTTTCTAGCGTCCTCGAAATCAACCGAGCGTCCTCGATAGTTTTCGAGCGTCCTCGAAATCAATCGAGCGTCCTCGAGCGTTTTCGAGCGTCCTCGATCGTTTTCGAGCGTTCTCGATCGTTTTCGAGCGTCCTCGAAATCAATCGGGCGTCCTCGATAGTTTTCGAGCATCCTCTATAGTTTTCGAGCGTTCTCGAAATAAATCGAGCGTCCTCGATCGTTTTCGAGCGTCCTCGAAATCAATCGAGCGTCCTCGATCGTTTTCGAGCGTCCTCGAAATCAATCGAGCGTCCTCGATCGTTTTCGAGCGTCCTCGAAATCAATCGAGCGTCCTCGATCGTTTTCGAGCGTCCTCGATCGTTTTCGAGCGTCCTCGATAGTTTTCGAGCGTCCTCGATCGTTTTCGAGCGTCCTCGATAGATTGCGAGCGTCCTCGATAGATTTCGAGCGTCCTCGATAGTTTTCGAGCGTCCTCGAAATCAATCGGGCGTCCTCGATAGATTTCGAGCGTCCTCGATAGTTTTCGAGCGTCCTCGAAATCAATCGGGCGTCCTCGATAGTTTTCGAGCGTCCTCGAAATCAATCGGGCGTCCTCGATAGTTTTCGAGCGTCCTCGATCGTTTTCGAGCGTCCTCGATCGTTTTCGAGCGTCCTCGATAGATTGCGAGCGTCCTCGATAGATTTCGAGCGTCCTCGATAGTTTTCGAGCGTCCTCGAAATCAATCGGGCGTCCTCGATAGATTTCGAGCGTCCTCGATAGTTTTCGAGCGTCCTCGAAATCAATCGGGCGTCCTCGATAGTTTTCGAGCGTCCTCGAAATCAATCGGGCGTCCTCGATAGTTTTCGAGCGTCCACGATCGTTTTCGAGCGTCCTCGAAATCAATCGGGCGTCCTCGATCGTTTTCGAGCTTCCTCGATAGTTTTCGAGCGTCCTCGATCGTTTTCGAGCGTCCTCGAAATCAATCGAGCGTCCTCGATCGTTTTCGAGCGTCCTCGATCGTTTTCGAGCGTCCTCAAGATCAATCGAGCGTCCTCGATAGATTTCGAGTTCCTCGATAGTTTTCGAGCGTCCTCAAAATTAATCGGGCGTCCTCGATAGTTTTCGAGCGTCCTCGATAATTTTCGAGTGTCCTCGAAATCAATCGGGCGTCCTCGATAGTTTTCGAGCGTCCCCGAAATCAATCGAGCGTCCTCGATCGTTTTCGAGCATCCTCGATCATTTTCGGGCGTCCTCGAAATCAATCGGGCATCCTCGAAACCAATCGAGCGTCCTCGATCGTTTTCGAGCGTCCTCGATCGTTTTCGAGGGTCCTCGACATTTTCGGGCGTCCTCAAAATCAATCGGGCATCCTCGAAACCAATCGAGCGCCCTCGATCGTTTTCGAGCGTCCTCGAAATCAATCGGGCGTCCTCGATCGTTTTCGAGCGTCCTCGATAGTTTTCGAGCGTCCTCGAAACCAATCGAGCGTCCTCGAAATCTATCGGGCGTCCTCGATAGTTTTCGAGCGTCCTCGATAGTTTTCGAGCGTCCTCGATCGTTTTCGAGCGTCCTCGATAGTTTTCGAGTGTCCTCGAAATCAATCGGGCGTCCTCGATAGTTTTCGAGCGTCCCCGAAATCAATCGAGCGTCCTCGATTGTTTTCGAGCGTCCTCGATCATTTTCGGGCGTCCTCGAAATCTATCGGGCATCCTCGAAACCAATCGAGCATCCTCGATCGTTTTCGAGCGTCGTTGATCGTTTTCGAGCGTCCTCGATCGTTTTCGAGCGTCCTCGAAATCAATCGGGCGTCCTCGATCGTTTTCGAGCGTCCTGGATAGTTTTCGAGCGTCCTCGAAATCAATCGGGCGTCCTCGATCGTTTTCGAGCGTCCTCGAAACCAATCGAGCGTCCTCGAAACCAATCGAGCGTCATCGATAGTTTTCGAGCGTCCTCGATAGTTTTCGAGCGTCCTCGAAATCAATCGAGCGTCCCGATAGATTTCGAGCGTCCTCGATCATTTTCGGGCGTCCTCGAAATCAATCGGGCATCCTCGAAACCAATCGAGCGTCCTCGATAGTTTTCGAGCGTCCTCGAAATCAATCGGGCATCCTCGAAACCAATCGAGCGTCCTCGATAGATTTCCAGCGTCCTCGAAACCAATCGAGCGTCTTCGATAGATTTCGAGCGTCCTCGAAATGTATCGAGTGTATTCGATCATTTTCAAGCGTCCTCGATTTCGAGGACGCCAATCAATCGAGCGTTTTGCTGTGCGAGGCAGAAAGCATCGTGAGAAGCGCACAGTTGTGGCCTGCCAACCATGGTGCTGTCATCCGCAAACAATGAATGCCGCTAATTTGCAACATGTCATCGATATGCATAAGGAACAATGTAGGCGACAGCACGCAGCCTTGAGGGACGCCTGTGTTTACAGACAGCAAGTCAGAGCATTCACCGTCGACAACAACCTTAATGCTTCTGTCTTCAAGGAAGCAGGAGACCCATTCGTATAATTTCTCGGGAAGCCCGTAGGAAGGAAGCTTCGAAAGAAGCGCTCTGTGCCAAACCCGATCGAAGGCCTTCGCCACGTCCAAACTTACTGCCAACGCTTCCCCCTTAGACTTGATCGCCTGTGCCCAGCGGTGCGTTAGGTAAACCAAAAGATCACCAGCAGACCGACCTTTACGAAAGCCGTATTGCTGATCACTGAGCAGCTGATGATCTTCTAAGTAATGCAAGAGCTGGCTGACGAAAATGGAATGATGGAATGCTCGTTATTTTCTAATCGGTCGCACTTGCGACCACTCGGCCAACGAGGCAGTCAACAAGTACAAATGAAATAATAGTCTGTCTAATCGTCAGTCAATGAAGCTAGGTAGGTGCTCATTCCGAAATGTAGATTCAAATGGAGAAAAACTAACAATAAATTTCATAATTCGTCTGTGATCTTCGTTTTTTTTTAATGTTCATTGTTCCTTTATTTCAAGCAACTGTAGCCCATATAAAATATAATGCACTTAAATAAATAAAAATACAATACAAAATTGAAACAGATACCAAAAATGAAAACATCAATAAAGTAATAGATATATATCATAACATAACATCACACCTTTTATCCCCGAAGGGGTAGGCAGAAGTGCACATCATACTACTGTACAATGTAACACCCACTTTTCACTATTTATGTTATGAGTCCCATGTAATAGGGGGTGAGCCTATTGCCATATACCGGGCACAAAGATATACATTTTTTTTTAATCGTTACCCCACGCTAGGATTATCTCCTGTGTCGTGGGTGCGTTTACAAACATACAAGTTCACATACACATGACACCCAGACCCGGAACAACAATTTGTGGATCACACAAAGTGTTGTTCCGTGCGGGAATCGAACCCGTGACACGTTGCACGGCAGCCGGTTGCCCAGCCACCGCACCAATCGTGCCGTCAAAATAACAAAACTCATATTTTTAGTTTTGATGAGTTACTCACCTTAGGGCCGGTAGAACGTGATCCAGCAATAAAGCATCAGCAGGTCTCTGAGCGTCACTGTGTGGCGGGGCGGGGGCCTTCTCAGCCAGCACTGAGGTGAGAGCCTCCAGCAGCCACTGGGACGACCACCAGCGAGGGGATACCGTACCACCGAACCACTGAAAAAGTTCAAAATTAGGATTATGTTCAATCGTTATTTTATATGCTACCTGCCTCGTTGACCGAGTGGTCGCAAGTGCGACTACCGGGCAAGGGGTCTCGGGTTCCATTCCCGGGTTGGGCAAAGTAACACGGAGTCTGAAAATGTGCCCGGTATATGGCAATAGGCTCACCACCTATTACATGGGACTGATAACATAAATAGTGAAAAGTGGGTGCTATTTCTGTGTGCACATCTGCCTACCCATTCGGGGATGTCGCGGAGAACCTAACGGGTAACCGGGGCTCCGGCTCGACGTGCAGCAGAAGGAACGGGGTGGTTTTTAGTCAGTAAGAGTCTGACACTCCCTCCCACTTCACCCAGGCGGGAGCAGTCATTCGATGATTTTCCCCCTTAAAAAAAACCCCATTCGGGGATAAAAGGCGTGATGTAATGTTAATGTTATGTTATATTAATCATCAGTCCGTGAGATGAGACTTATGGCCGTTTTCACCAACTAACCCTGAACCATTTTTTTACTAAGAGTTACTTAGCATGAGGGAGTCGTCGTGTAAGTGAGGTTACCGGAGGCCCAATTACTCTCTTTCCCAATCTCCTCAATCCCCAAATCCCCCTGTTGAGATGATAAGGTTGCAGTTTGCTAGTGCTGATTAACTAATTATTTGACACTGTAAATAAGTTGAAGGTATATTGAAATGAATGGACGACAGATTAATAAATATAGATAAGTGAGACAAACTTTTTGAACAAACACCGCCACAATGCTTACATTCCAAAAGGCCGGTATACACGTGTATGCACGTGTTTCGGAAGTCCTTGGGCGACGCCGATTAATTTATTTTATTTATTTATTTTGATTGAATATAAGAACCTATGGTGAACTTAATGCCATAATGCCTGTTTTACTCTGCCGTATTGGCTATGTGCAAAGCGAGTAGTGGCGGACAGAAAACGACCGCAGCGCACAACACGGCAGAAATTGGAAACAAATGCGGATGATGCAAACCTCGTTTTTATTATTAGTTATATTCATTTTACAGTAAAACTATTGAATAAATTTCACTTAAATAATGTCAACAATACAATTTTAATGTTTGGTTTTATTTATATTTGCAAAGAAAATTATAATGTTTACATTGTTATTATTTGACAGCTTCCGCAAATTTAAACGCTACGCGTCGCCACCGTCGCGCACATAGCCAATAGGTAATTGTACAATGTAGTTCTTACCTGCTGAGCCAGTAGTCTAGCTATAGTCTTGGTATCGGATAGCGTGGCCGGTGCCAGAGTGATCAGTCCCCAACCTTCCGAGTAAGGATTGCTGCCTTCTACCACCACGATATCTGAAAAAATATTGGTATTTTAACTTATTTTCAGTCTAAAAGTATCAGGGGGCTTACTCTTGAATCCAATTTCGATCGATCGACATTGGTATTGTGAAATTGCGTACTCTTGAGTTGCAACACTAGCGCCCATAGCATCCGTATCGCGTGGATATTGAATGAACTAAATGGTATTGAGTTCAGCTTTATATTCCGGACTCTGAATGTTATTGTAACAGCTACGATTGTGGTTGTATAGTTTTGACATTGAATTTTATTGGATTAAAATTGCATTGACATTGAGATTGGTTTCAAGAGTAAGCACCCAGTTTTTCTTTAATCAGGAATCGAAAGTACACACACGACTTTAGACACCATCATATCAACCTTGGAGTTACCACAAAAATGTACTAAAATCGAACAAAACTACTATTTTATGAAAAATCTGCCATTGATGCCAGACTTCTATAAGAAAAATCATTTACGGGTCTTGAAGTTGTCCATGTAGACATCCCAGTCTGTAAAAAAATAGCAAGGACAGAATAGGTTTTTGTGATGGTGAAAGCTACCCAATGACTGTTTCCTCCTTGGGTGAGGCGGGAGGGAGTGTCAGACTCTTACTGACTAAAAACCACCCCGTTCCTACTCCTGCACTTCAAGACGGAGCCCCGGCAACCCGTTAAGTCTTCAGTATCGGTTCTATTGGGTGATGTGGTGGTTCGATGGCTTTTAGAGGCGCCCGCGAAACACGGAGCCCAGTAATGAACAGAACTAGACCACCCGGGTCTGGTTTAGATCGGGCGGCGAGTCACCCATGCCCGTCCGCAGGTCCAAATTGACGGTGGCCGGATATCGTCTCGTAATCACCGACGCCCGGAGTGTCTCTCGTAGCAGCTGTGGCGTTAGAAGGTTCATTCTCCCACACGTTCCGCCACTTCCTTAACTAGAATGACTGCTTTGCGGTAGGAGATGGCATCCTAGTCCCCCTCGCTACATACCATGGTCTGATCTAGAGCCCTAGGATCCCTGAGTACACGGCGGTGTTCAGCCCACGCAGGAAAGGACCGAATGCTTAACGGTACTAATTACTAAAGAAAGAAATAATACCTCTAATATAGAAGTAACACTCACCGAATTTCGGAAGTGGATACGAAGTATTCAGCTCAAAGGAGAAATGCTGGATCGTCCTTTGTACCCATTCGAGAAGAGGCCTGTGAAGAGAAAACAACAATTTGAATTCTTCTAGAACTTATTCGAACTTCTTTTTTTATCTGGACAATCAATAGCTTATGACAAAACTCGATCTTTTACGGATTCTGTCACGAAAATGAAAGATATCATTAAAGACGTTAGGAAATTATGACTTCCATATATCTAATTGCGTTTTAAGCATCAAAGATAATGAAGTAAATATGAAAAATTTTGCACTATTTATTATAAGTGTGAAAGCCCTGTAATTAATTAAATTAAATTAGACTAGTAGAATGCATTTGTGTCAGCTTGGAGTTGTCATGCTCACTCAAAGGTCTCATTGGCGGTGGCGCGTGCAGTGGATCGCTCGATTCCCTACAATATGGTTGAGTTGGGCGGTGCTGGTGTACGTGTCATGTTCGTGAACGGGGCTGTCAACTGGGACTGGTCAGCTCCAGACTGTATTATTTCTATTGTCCTTAAGTTGACTTTCTTTTTCGATATCTGACTGGATTTTGGTGTTACTCACACAATTGAACCAACAAAATTGCATAATTAAAAATTGTATTGTGAACCTGATTAAAAAAGAGTAACCTATGGAGTTTCTTGCTTGTTCTTCTCCATAGGAATCTACACCTTGGAATGAGCCAATAGCTTCACTTTAAAATTATTGTTGACGTTCAAAAGTACCTTCCTGGTCTAATTAAAATAAATGATTTTGATTGACTTTGACATGGCTCTTCCGCGTGAAAATTTAATAATTTCAATTCAACCAGTTGAGCAGTTGAACTTCCTTCCTTGTTTGACTTTGACCTTGTCTTTGAAGTTTTTTTAAAAACACAATGATTGATGATTATCACAACTCACCCAGATTCGTCCAAAATAACTTGTTGATCGCTGTACAAACTGATTTCTGGCGGCAAATCCTCTTCGGGTGGTTCCGATGTGGCTTCGGGTATCATCGTGGCCACTTCGGTAATATTCGGCGTGGCTTCGGTTGGTAGTTCGGGAGCCGCTCGTCTTTGGAGGCGACAGACTGCTAGAGATACCATGTGGGGAGGCATCGGAGGGGTCACTCCGAATTCGTCTTGAAGCTGTAGGGGTAGAATAAAGAATTTTCGTCGGTCTTCTCTTATTTATTTATTTATTTATACTTTATTTACTACTACTTTAAGGAAAGATTAAGAAAACACCCAAACATTCTCGCGCAACATCTTATGGATGGAAACATATTTCCAGGAGTTCGCAGACTAAAATTACGAGTACCACAGGACCTGCTCTAAACAATAAATTATGAGAATATGTCGCTGGACATATATCTCCCATGCCACTTACACAGACCACCAAAAGTAATGCTGAATGTCAGAAAGACAGATAGCATTAGGAAAAAAAAAATTATACTTTATTGCACACAGAAAAAAATTGTAAACATTTCATTCATTTCATTTCATTTTCATTTTTTTAAAAACGTTGCCCCACATTAGGATTTTCTCCTGTGTCGTGGGTGCGTTTACAAACATACAAGTTCACATACACAATGGCAGCCAGACCCGAAACAACAATTTGTGTTGTTCATCACACAAAGTGTTGTTCCGTGCGGGAATCGAACCCGCGACACGTTGCACGGCAGCCGGTTGCCCAGCCACCGCACCAACCGTGCAGTCAACATTGCAATAGTAATTTGAGTACAATGGGCGGTCTTATCACACGCTGCGATTTCTTCCAGACAACCTTTGGATGGAATTTTTGAAAAGAATCTGGGAATGGGTGGTATATGCTATATGCACAATAAAATAAAACCAAAATAGAAGAAAAACAATAAAAAACAAATTAAACAATCAATGAAACTTACAGACTACATATAATACATAAGTACATGTAAAAAGTTTTGGAATTCAAAAATACGTAATAGGGTAGATGACTAATTTTTATTTTAATGTCCGTCTGGTAGATTACTTAAAAACATTACACACGTATTTGTTATTTTTTTACGAAAACGAATAGTTTCGAAGATATATTGATTTGAAATGTCGCGTGACGTCACTTCTATGTACATTTTATTCGTAGAAACGACGTTTTAGCCCCCACTCCTAAACTTTGATTCGTTTTATCTTAGTACCTATCATTTTATTATACGACAAAATAAAAAAAATACGTGTCTAATATTTTTTCAATACCTAACTGACGGACTACTAATTATATTTTTGATTTATATACCCTGTCATCATCCCTATTAATGTTTAGAACCATGTTTCGGCGCAAATAGATCGATTCAACCGGAATGATACCACGGCCTTTAGAAAACAGATAAGATATTATGCGCCTGCCACAAACTCGACGAGTGGTATGGGGAGTAACAAAGACAAGCACTCAAAGATTTGTGCCGTGCGGGAATCGAACCCGATACAAGTCGCCCGCCGCAACGTGTAGCATGTGTGTCTGTCGTAGAAATTGTCGGTTCTTCGGGGTTTCCCGATGATGAGGGCCCTACCCACGGACCCCGGGATGCCCTTATGAATGAAACAGATGATACTGACCGTTAGCCCCATCTCCAACATATCTCCTCTAGTATTTTGGGTGTCTATGAGCGGAGCTGATTGCTTACCATCAGCCGATTCGATTCGTCTGCTCGTCTGCCCTCTATCCCAAAAACACAATTTGCTCCTCGTTTTTACCATGTTCTCGTTATCTCTTTCCTGTCATTGAATTGATTTTGAGAATGCAAACGAACTTACCAGTCGATGTCCTAAATAGAAGCCAGCCTCCTCAGTCGCCACTATCGGCATATTAGTCAGCGACACGTGGAACCTGTAATATACATGAAAAATATAACACTGGTGCAGAAAAATATAACACCGTCGTCTGTCTGTCCCTATGTATGCTTAGATGTTTAAAACTACACAACGGATTATGATGCGGTTTTTTTAATAGATAGAGTTATTCTTAACCCCTCGAGCGTCCTTATGAGCACCCGGTGGATCATAAGAAAAAATGCTCCATGCTGCTTTCTCTTTTATAAAATCTATTATTAATGTTTTGGTTTTATTTTGACTGTATTTATTTTATTTCTATTGTAATGATCCTTGTTTTCGTGTGCCAATGGCCAAATAAATGCATTTTCTTTCTTTATTTATTTCTTTCTCCAAATGTCACGTGTGCACCCGTTGGATCATAAGGAACGCGGACGCTCGACAGGTTAAGGAAGGTTTATATGTATAATACATGCATATTGCATCCGTGCGAACCTGGGGCGGGTCGCTAGATAAAAATAAATACAAATATTCCATAAACAAAAACCTATTTAAGGTGGACTTACAATTGGAACATACAGAAGAAATACTTAATATTATAACAACAAATAACAACAAACTTATTTGAAGAGTAAGCTGAAGAACCTCTCACACCAAGAGGATGAAGTGGAATACTCCGCTCACCTGTCTCTGACGATGGTGATCTTGAAGGTAGCCCTGAAATGTGGCTCGTCCAGACACGGGAACGCGGACCGGGCGTGAGTCAGCCAGAATCTGGATACAGCGCAGCGACTGCAAAAAATTTAAATTACCTTTATTATCTATCTATATCTATTATTTATCATCATCATCAACAGCCTATAATAAGTGCCCACTGCTGATTAAAGGCCTCTTTGATTTGAGGATTGATTAAAGGATTATTGTCTTTACACACACTAGATTAAGAACTTACTATAAAAATTTTGATGTCTGTACGTATAGACACAATGTGGCGCATTGCCACAATATTACCTACTATCTATTGTAACATACCTCATCATGTCATCAACAGCCTACAAATGCCCACTGCTGATCAAAAGCCTCTTCTAACATGGAGAAGGTTTGAGCACTAATCGCCACGCTTGTTCAATGCGGGTTGGCGATTTCAAACTTATCTATACTAATATTATAATCTATACTAATATTATAAAGAGGAAAGATTTGTATTTTTGTATGTTTGTAATGAATAAACTCAAAAACTACTGAACCGATTGCAATAATTTTTTCACCATTCGAAAGCTGCATTATTCAGAAGTAACATAGGCTATATAATATCACGCTAGGTCCTATAGTTGTGGAGCAGTAACCAAAAATGTTTTAAAAACGGGGGAAAAGTATAGTTTCTGACGCCTTCCGTGGCGTGCGCTGAGCATATAGTTAAAGTTATACAAAAATGTTCTATAGATGAATTGTTTATCTTAACATTATTTTTAAAAAAGTCCGCGAGAGCATATGTCTACCTTTTATAGTTTACCCATAACAATCGTTTTAATGAATGGTTCAATCCTTATAAAAGTTTGCTCTAGATAACTTTTGAATTGTTCAATCGGTTACCTTAAGACGCGACATCGACAACGGAGGGCAGGTCGCTAAAAAAAAACTGAGAATAAATATAAATAAAACGTAAAACTATGTAAAAAATCTTAAGTCCCCCCGTGCGAAGCCGGGACGGGCCGCTAGTAATTTATAATTATAAGTTTGAATTCAAACTTATAATTATAAATTATAAGTTTGAAATCGCCAACATATAAATTATAAGCCGAGGTTTCCTCACGATGTTTTCCTTCACCGTGTGTCAGTGGTGTCTAAATAATCTTAGAAAGTACATATAACTCGGAAAAAGTCACATTGATACTTGCTGTTGGTAGGTTTTGAACCCGAACTCTCATGCATGAGAAGCGGGCGTCTTAAACCTCCTAAATAATATATTAATCTATACTATCTATATCTATACTAATATAATAAAGAGGAAAGATTTGTACCTATTTTTGTATGTTTGTAATAGGCTCAAAAAGTACTGGGCCGATTTAAAAAATTCTTTCACCAATACCTCAGAATGCTACATTCTTCCAATTTGGCATAGGCTACATTTCATTTTGAAAAAAATTAGGGATCCTTGGTAATATTTGAACAATGTAACCGAAGGTGTAGAAAAATGAGTCTTAAAATGTCTTTCGTCGAATGCGCTGCCGAAACTATTAGCGATAGAACAAAATAATGTACAACAATATTGAAGAACATCATAATGTCTACAAAAAACTCCGCGGTAGCATATGTCCAACTATTGTAGTTATGTCACTACAACAATCCAAATTTCCAAAAATAAATAATTGTCTACCCCGTGCGATGCCGGGACGGGCTGCTAGTAATTATATAATTGTGCAAACTTACTGTCTATGCGTCCCTGTCAAGAAGAAACCTCGTTGTTTGTCGCTCCTCTCCAATTTCGTGATGAAACGAAGACTCAAAGTGTAGTTAAATTTACGACGGAGTTTTTCCTATAAAAACAATGAAAATATTTATGTAAAAAATATATCATAAATAATGTATTTTTTTATGGTATAGACCGGTAAACGAGCAGACGGATCACCTGATGGTAAGCAATCGGCGTCGCCCATGGACACCTGGAACACCAGAGGCGTTACAAGTGCGATACCAGCCTTTTGGGATTAGGAATTTGAGGATTGTTGGGGATTCAGGGATTGGGGAAAGGGGGGGAGGGTAATTGGGCATCCGGTAACCTTACTCACACGACGAAACACAACACAACGTTGCTTCACGTCGGTTTTCTGTGAGGCCGTGGTATCACTCCGGTCGAGCCGGCCCATTCGTGCCGAAGCATGGCTCTCCCACACTTAGGTTAATAACCGTTTTTCACCCTTGCCAGCCGTAGAGGCGGAATGGATATTTATTTTCAAAATTCATGAGACCGCAGTTTTCTACGGTTCAGCAGCTGTCGTGGTTGCGATTATCGCCCGCAAACTTGATGGTTGATTATCAGAATACGGACGGTTAAACAATCAGTTGAGTTCCAAACCAAACAATCAGTTGACTGCACGGTTGGCACGGTGGCTGGGCAACTGACTGCCGCGCAACGTGTCTCGCTTACGATTCTCGCACGGAACAACTCTTGGTGTGAACCACAGATTATTGTTCCGGGTCTGGGTGTTATGTGTATGTGAACTTGTATGTTTGTAAACGCACCCATGACACGAGAGAAAATCCTAGTGTGGGGCAACGTTAAAAAAAAATCAGCCCTCATTGCGATCGCTCGCCAACCAACCGCAGAGCGCGCGGGTGTTAGCCACCCGCCATTCGGGAGGGGTTATCCCGGGCGTCGAGACGACGATGATGTACCTGGGACTCGTCCTCGACAGTCGGTGGAACTTCGTGGAGCACTTCCGACGTTTGGCTCCAAAGTTGGAGAAGACGGGGTGTTTAAGCGCATCCTCGCGTTTCGGGAGGTACCTGTATCTGATGGGGCGGGAGGAAACGCCCGGGTGTCATCACTGCGAGGACCGCCTTGAGGTGAGACACGGTGGAACACATAGTGGAGCAATGCCCTGCGTGGGCTGAGCACCACCGTGCCCTCAGAGAAGTGATCGGCGATGGCGACCTCTCGCGTCCGGGCCTAGTGCAGGTCATGATGCAGAGCGAGGAGTACTGGGATGTCGTCTCCTCCTTTTGCGAAGCAGTTATGCTAGCTAAGGAGGAGGCGGGACGCGTGAGGCAGCAAAGCGCTGCCTCCTCGCAACCCAGCCATCGCGAAGGACACACCGGGCGTCGGAGATCGTCTCGCGATCTCCGGCCACCGTAAGTGCGGGCCTGCGGATGGCGAGCATGGGAGGCTCGCCGTCCGACCAGAAACAGACCCGAGGATACAATAGGGCTAATACCGATACAGAGCCACGGAGAACCAAACGGGTTACCGGAGCTCCGGCTCGAAGTGCAGGAGTAGGAACAGGTGGTTTTTAGTCAGTAAGAGTCTGATATTCCCTCCCGCCTCACCTAGGCGGGAGAGGCCATTCGATGATTTTCCCCCCTTAAAAAAAGGGCTCCGGTAGACTGATACAGTAACAGTAAACTTACCTTAAACTCAATATAACTCTGGTCTGCCTGTGGATACTCCAACGTCTTCGCGACCTTCGGTCCGAGCGAGCCACCGGACTTGAACAGAGCTCGCTCAGTCACATTCATGTCTCTCACGTTCAGCACCACAAACGTGGTGTCCCGGTCCACTTTGAAGTCTATTGAGACTTCACCTGGAATAAGGGATGAAGATGTTTTAGTTTAAAATGTCAAACACCGCGAGGACACCAACCGCAACCTTTTGTTCTTTAATTAATTGTGTCTATAATGACGTACAACGGTACTCAACGAGTTAAACTACTGTGTAAAAATGAGGGTTGTAACACGCTATGGTAGTTAATCAGGCAGGGTCAGCAGCAGCTTCGTAGAGGAAGCGAAAGAGGTATGTAAAAATCGTAGCAATAAATACATAATATTTTATGTAAGTAACTTATACAAGGTGTAGTTTTGAAACCGTAACATTTCTCGGGGGCATGTCACAGAAGTCATAAAGGTTTAATGTAAGAGAAAGTTTCGGGCCAATAGTTAAAAATACGGCTATAATAAATCGTTTAAGTTGGACAGTATTTCAGAATAAGCGACAGCAATGTTTCTTATTGGAGTTTTATGAAATTAGGAATAATATCAATTAGGTACCTCTCAGTTCTCCAGTAGTCAAGTTCGGATGTAGCCATAGACTGTAATGCTTTGGTATAACAAAGGTTGGCAGTCGAGCGCCGCGCCATGGGAACACTGCCCCGTTGGTCGCTAAACGTTCCCTGGGGACAATTAAATCAAATAGATTTATTTGCGTGTCAGTTCAATGAACTCATCATCATCATCATCATCATCAACAGCTTATAAATGCCCACTGCTGAGCAAAGCCTCTTCTCACACGGAGAAGGTTAGAGCATTAATCACCACGCTGGCTCAATGCGGGTTGGCGATTTCAAACTTATAATTAGAAATTATAAGTCCAGGTTTCCTCACGATGTTTTTCCTTCACCGTTTGTCAGTGGTGTCTAAATTATCTTAGAAAGTACATATAACTCGGAAAAAGTCACATTGGTACTTGCCGATGGTAGGTTTCGAACCCGCACCCTCATGCATGAGAAGTGGGCGTCTTAAACCTCCAGGCCACCACGACATTTTTTCTTAAACCTCCAGGCCACCACGACATTTTTAAATGAACTCGCAAAGATTATTTTATATATACTGTGTTATAGGTTAGAGTAGTAGATATAGTTTTAGTGTTAAGTTGCTGTTATTAGTCTGGGTATTGTTAATTTGTTATTGTTAGTTTTGTAAATGTAAGTAAATGTCGTATAAAGTGCCACACTAAGGCATTAGGTTATATAATTTACCTGTAATGTTAGCTGTAAGAGTTGAAATAAATAAATAAACAAATCATATGACTTGAATTTTTTATTCTTCCCCTTAAAGTGTGGGAGAGCCATGCTTAGGCACGAATGGGCCGGCTCGACCGGAATGATACCACGGTCTCATAGAAAACCGACGTGAAGCAACGCTTGCGTTGTGTTTCGTCGAGTGAGTGAGGTTACCGGAGGCCCAGCTCCCTCCCCCCAATCCCCGAATCCCCAACAATCCTCAAACTCCTAATCCCCAAAAGGCCGGTAATGCACTTGTAACGCTTCTGGTGTTCCACGTGTCTATGGGCGACGCCGATTGCTTACCATCAGGTAATCCGTCTGCTCGTTTACGGCATTTTTTTTTTTTTTAAGGGGGGAAAATCATCGAATGACTGCTCCCGTCTGGGTGAGGCGGAAGGGAGTGTCAGACTCTTACTGACCAAAAACCACCCCGTTCCTTCTCCTGCACGTCGAGCCGGAGCCCCGGTTACCCGTTAGGTTCTCCGCGACTCCGAATCGGCATCGGCCCTATTGGGCCCCATCTGTGGTGGTCTGATGGCTCTTTGAGGCGCGCGCGGAACGCGACGCGCCGTACGGTCGGGTCTGTTTCTGGTCGGACGGGGAGCCACCCATGCTCGCCGTCCGCAGGCCCGCGCTTACGGTGGCCGGAGATCGTCCCGCGATCCCCGACGCCCAGTGTGTCCTTCGCGATGGCTGGGTTGCGAGGAGGCAGCGCTTCGCTGCCTCACGCGTCCCGCCTCCTCCTTAGCTAGCATGACTGCTTCGCAAAAGGAGGAGACGGCATCCCAGTCCCCCTCGCTCCGCATCATGGCCTGCACTAGGCCGGGACGCGAGAGGTCGCCATCGCCGATCACTTCCCTGAGGGCACGGCGGTGCTCAGCCCACGCAGGGCATTCCGCTACGGTGTGTTCCACCGTGTCCTCAGGGCGATCCTCGCAGTGATGACACCCGGGCGTTTCCTCCCGCCCTATCAGACACAGGTACCTCCCGAAACTTCCATGTCCGGTGAGGACCTGCGTCAGGCGGTAGGTGAGGACGCCGTAGCGTCTCTCAAGCCACTCCTCAAAGAGGGGTCTTACCGCTGCAATGGCAGCGAGCCCAGCCCTCGGTTGCGACAGTCGTTGCTGCCATTCCGCCATGAGATCGCGCCAGAGCTCATCCCGCCACGCAGTTATCTGGCGCGGCAGAGGGGTTTCGCCCCGGCGACGTGCCTCCGCGCGCATGCGATACACGCGCGCGAGCACCTTCGCCTCCAGATCCCACGGCGGTGATCCGGCAAGGAGGTTCGCCGACTCCCCGGAGATCGTGCGGTATCCGCGGATCATTCGGATCGCCATGACCCTCTGTGACATGAGCAGCGTCCGAGCGGGACGCCGCAGCATGTTCGGCGCCCACACAGGGGCGCCGTAGAGGGCCATGGACCGCACTCGTTTACGGCATATGCCATAAAAAAAATATATAATTTACTATCCTTTAGCCAAACGCTTACGCTGGTAAAGGATAGCCAAAGCCGCTATCCTTTACCAGCGTAAAGGATAGCGGCTTTGCTCGCCTTCTCATGCAATAAAAACTTAGCTATATGTCATTCCAGAGCATAATATATCCCTATTTCAAATTTCATCACAATCACATTAGCTGTTTTGACGTGATACACACAAACACACGAACTTTGCATTTATGACATAACATAAAAACATAACATAACATCACGCCTTTTATCCCTGAAGGTGCACTTTATACCACAGTACACCTACTTTTCACTATTTATGTTATAAGTCCCATATAACAGGGGGGTGAACCCATTGCCATATACCGGGCACAATTCCAGACTCCGTGCTACTACTGAGAACATTTAAAAACCCAGTAATACTTTGCCCGACCCGCGAATCGAACCCGAGACCCCTAGCCCGGCAGTCGCACTTACGACCACTCGGCCACCGAGGCAGTTGCATTTATGATATTAATAAAATGACTTGTTTAATGTAGGTTAAATATCTTGGCCCATAATCGACGTGATATGTTCATAAACATACCACTAAGGTGCAAGTACATCTGTCCGCAGCAAATAGCAGTTTGTGTTTTCTTTTCATGGAATAGGAGACAAACGAGCGGACGGATTACCTGATGGTAACCGATCAGCGCCGCCCATGGATACTCACAACACCAGATGAGTCACAGGTGCGTTGCCAGCCTTTTAAAAAGGAATACGCTCTTTTGTTGAAGGTTTGAAGGTCGTGTGAGCTTTTTTTAGGACAAGCCCGCCACAACCTCCCAAAACCGCTGCAACTCCTGTAAGGCAGGATCTACAGTAGATACAACCATAAAACCACCGCAACCCTGAGGTCCGGCGCGTCCCAGGGACATGAATAACTGTCTTTGTTCCCGCAACGAACTGAATCAGAAGATATTATAAGAGGAGAAGGAAAAAAACGTCGTGTGTGCTTGTATAGTTGTGTCATCACTCAGAACCGTCAGTAAATAGTGAGAGAGACGACTTACTTGTTAGCAGCAGCTAGACTGGCTTCAGAGTCCGTCGGTGGCTGTCCAGGTATCAATGTTACGTCTGTAGCACATGGGCAATCTAGAAATTTAACAAAAAGTGAGTAAAGAGAGTAATACATCATTGTTAGTTTCAGTCCCAGTTGGGCGCCAATTTTTCTTTACTGATTAAAAGCAAGCTAGTCAAAAAGAAAAGATATAAAAAGAAATCCATTAAGTCCCAAATTAACTGTTCAATCCGGTAACCACTTTCACTAACTCCACTATAGACCTTGTTACCGATGCTTAGAGATTAATTTTGTATGAACAATTTAAGGGATTTTCGGTACGATATATCTACGGATTTAGACTTAAGAACCTTACAAAAATTAATAAAATATAAATATTCAATATATATTCATTTTCAATCAGGAAACCAAACCAAGTCCCAGAGTCCCATTTGGGCATCATTAAGTAACACACAAGTCCCTGTTGGGTGCCAACAACACATAGTCCCATTTGGGTGCCAATAACAAATTCGAACCCTGCCAAATATGGATACTATGACAAACCACTCTTTTACATAGAACGCTTGACTGAACTGTTGACACAGTTGTTGGGTAATCGACTTTCGTGCAACGTGTCACGGGTTCGATTCCCGCGCCGGCCAATAAGTGATAATGGCATTTTCTGAGTAAAATGACCATTATTAGCCCAGAGTCAGAAATTTCAACGGTATTTCACCCCCGTTCCTCTTAAAGCACGGAAAGGCGTCGTCCTGCGCCTGACCTCTGTTCGGTCGTATCGGTCTGCCGTCCCATCGGGTTCAGAGAGTGAGCGAACAGAGAATTTACTTATGTTTGCGCACACACTTGTGCACTATAATATCTTCTGCGTAATGAACTAGTCTAGTGACGCTTGCCACCATGATCAGAATCAATCGTGAGATTTATATTTTATACATAGAAGGCCCATATTTCAATAGTAGAAACTATATGGACACGGGCTGTAAGCCTACATAACTTTTTTCATATTGCAAATAACTAAATGACAAATAAATTATCGATATTATGATAATGACAAATAAATTATTTTTCTTTCTTTATTTGGTTTGGAATGGTCCCATTTGAGCGCCAATAACACAAAGTCCCCGTTGGGCGCCAATAACAACAACACAGTTTGCTAACAGATGGTTTATTTTTTTTTAATTACGGCGAAACCTTCTTTTTAAGATGATCTTAACCCATTGAAATCCATCCCCTAAATTTGATCATACAAAATTAGTCTCTAAACATTGGAAATAAGGTCTATAATGTAGTTAGTGGAGAGCGGTCACCGGTGATCGCTTGGGGATATATGGGTAGACTAGCAGTTGACTATTGCAAACAGTTGAGGACGATCCTGATGATGAACAAGAAGTCAAAACTTACCAGATTGCGGGGAAGCATACACAATGATCAGTGCCGTGGCGAACATGGCGGAGAACAGCACCACAGTGAGGCAGAGTGCTCGTCGTTGTGAGCATACTGCCACGGGTGCGTCGCGGAGCTCTCGAGCTTCGCGCGCCTTGTCCGTGTCTGTGGACAATAAGTACATTAAATGACATAACATCACGCCTTTTATCCTCGAAGGGGTAGGCATGGGTGCACATTACGGCACTTAATGCCACCGTGCAATGTAACACCCACTTTTCACTATTTATGTAATAAGTCTCATGTAATAGGGGGTGAGCCTATTGTCATATACCGATCACATTTCCAGACACCGTGCTACTACTGAGATTTTTTTTTTAAAACCCAGTATACTTTGCCCGCCCGGGCATCGTACCCGACACCCCTTTCCTGGCAGTCACACTTGCGACTACTCGGCCAACGAGGTAGTCAGTAAAGAAAGTTTTACTGTAATTGATTTTCTACCGTATGTGACTGTTCAAAAAAAAAAATAAGGAAAAATGAATTGAGATGAGAAGCTGTGTATGTCTCAGATCACTGTAAACTGTTTATTTAACGTAGTACAGTTACTATGCCAACCATGCCATTATCTATTGATTTTATTGATTTACTATCCATTGGCTACTTTGCAAAATGTTGCGATTTCAATTCTCCTATCGAGTCAAAAACGCTTATTATCTTTTTCTTTTTCGATCACTTTGACTAGATTTTAGTGTTACATTGTTCTCGCACAATCCAAACAGCAAATTATGTATGTAGGGTATTGTATTGTGAACCTGATTGAAAAAGAGTAACCTATGGAGTTTCTTGCTCGTTCTTCTCCATAAACATCTACACCTTGGAATGAGCAAATAGCTTCACTTTTAATTTTATTATTGACGTTCAAAAGTGCCTTTCTGGTCTAATTTAAATAAGTGATTTTGACTTTGACTTTGGAGGGTTTTTCTGATCACAATATCCATTGGTAGCACCAATTTAGAAGAAATAGAGATATATTTATTTGGTAACATGAGTAATTACAATGAAGGTGTTTTTGGTTAGTACAGAGTCTACATGCTCTGCCATTTATGGCGTACTAAATCAATCACTATAAGCAGACAATGCCACAATCTACAATCATGCAAAATCAAATGTCAAAGTTTGAATGAAAAAAATATTAATTATAATGTGAATGAATAACAATAAAAATCATAAGAAAATACTGAATTTCCTGTGTTATACCCCTATGGCTCGGAAAGCAAGTAAAGCCACTAGTCCTATGCTTGAGCGTTGTACAAATATATTGTATATTTCGTAGTAACTTAAGTGTGGGAGAGCCACGCTTCGGCACGAATGGGCCGGCTCGACCGGAGTGATACCACGGCCTCACAGAAAACCGACGTGAAGCAACGCTTGTGTTGTGTTTCGTCGTGTGAGAGAGGTTACCGGTTACCAATTACCCTCCCCTTCCCCAATCTTCCCAATCCCTGAATCCCCAACGATCCTCAAACTCCTAATCCCCAAAAGGCTGGTAACGCTTCTGGTGTTCCAGGTGTCCATGGGCGACGCCGATTGCTTACCATCAGGTGATCCATCTGCTCGTTTACCGACTTATGACATAAAAAAAGTAACTTACCCGCCAAAAACGCGACATCATCCAAATCTTGGTCAACCATGTTACGCCAGGCAGCTGCTAAAACGAAACCATTTTTTATGTTGTAATTCAAAATTAAAAAAGAAGGATCAAAGAATACATAACATCACGCCTTTTATACCCGAAGGAGTAGGCAGAGGTGTTCACCGGAGTTGGTCTACTAAGAGGACCCGGTGCCCCCTTCAAGTGCGGATGGTGGCCACCAGGTTTTAGTGAGGTAAAAATCCCACACTCCCTAGTCTTTTTCCCCAAAAAGCTAGGCGCCTTTGGAAGGTTTCCCCCCGTCAACAAAAAAAAAAAAAGGCAGAGGTGTTGTCGGCGCATTAGTATGGCCATCGACCATAGAGGCGGCGACGCGCGGGATAGGGGTATAAAAACCCACGGCCACGCGAGCGCCGCGCTTCTTCATCCACACACGTCACTAACTCACGCCAAAGCTTTCGGACATTTCTTTGTGTCGGTGCGCCGCCGGTCTTGATTCTACTTTGTAATTAAACCTACTTGATGTGCAGTCTTCTGTTTTAATTTAAAATAACCCGACAGAGCTACGACAAGTGCACATTACGGCACTTAATGCCACTGCACAATGTAACGCCCACGTTTCACTATTTATATTATGAGTCCCATGTAATAGGAGGTGAGCCTATTGCCATATACCGGGCACAATTCCAGATTCTGTACTACTACTAGGAATTTTTAAAAAACCCTGTTATTCTTTGCCCGACCCGGGTTTTCAAACCCGAAACCCCTTGCCCAGCATTGCACTTGCGACCATTCGGCCAACGAGGATCATCTCAAGGATCAAACAACTACTAAACCAACTTTCACGTAACAGAGCCATGCTTCAGCACTGCGGTGTCAGTTCCAACCTAGCTTCACCTAGTTTCACTGACAGACTGACTGACAGACTATTATTTATTTTGTATTTGTTGACGTTTCAAAAGCACCAGACTATGGTGTAATTGAAATAAATGCTTTGACTTTGACTTTGATACCACTAATGAGCGGGAAACCAGCGGAAAACAACTAGGTAGACTATTGTCTAACTTTTAATTCGAAAGATTGAAGTAAATTCGATCGCAGCCCGCCATGTCATTGGTTCTCAGAATAATCTCAACCAATGACGGGCTAGTATGCGATGTAGCTCACTTCGAAAATTCAAATTTGACAGTCACAGAATAAATAAATAGCAGAGCGTGGTGTCTTGCCGTGTGAATGAGATATAGCTGTCCTCCAGTCCTTCAATTGCTTGCCATCAGTTATTTATATTATGCTCTTTTACCGTCCTATCTAATAAAAAGAAACAATAATTAACATCTTAACATCACGCCTTTTATCCTCGAAGAGGTAGGCAGAGGTGCACATTATGCCACTGTACAAAGTAACACCAACTTTTCACTATTTATATTATGAGTCCCATGTAATAGTGGGTGAGAGTATTGCCATATACCGCGCACAATTCCAGTCCCCGTGCTACTACTGAGATTATTTTTTTTAAACCCAGTAATACTTTGCCCGACCCTGCAATTGAACTCGAGACCCCTAGCCCGGCAGTCGCACTTGCGACCACTCGGCCAACGAGGCAGTCTATACAATAATTTACAAATTTTCTTAAATAATGTTACCCTTAGCAGATCCGTTTCTGTCGGCTTTGTATTTGCCGATAGGCTCCATCTGTATGCCGTCCATCTCACGCCGACCGCGGCATGCCGACGATCACCTGCACACATCGAGAAAATCAACGTCATCATCATTATAAGAATAAGAACGTTTATTGGTAATTACAGGTAATAATAATTATAAAAAATAGTCCCACATACATCGCCTACTGTTTTCGGCATGCAAAATTAAGTTTTACAATATAATAAATTAAAATCTTACATTCAATAAAACCAATTACAAAAATGCTTACAACTAGGATAACATAATTATTTCTCCTAACATATTATTATTACTTTTCTTCTTTATTCACATATTTATCATTTTAGTGACTTACTAAATAACAACACACTTAGTATTGCACACAGTATATCAGATCCCTAAGTACCTAATTTAAAACTAGCAGCGCGACTGACGCCACGTCACTGGTCACGGAATGCTGCTCATGAATATGAGCCTCTAGCATTGAAACTAGTCGAGTTCCCCGTCAAACAGTTACGTAAGTAACGTATTTATTATTTTCTTACAGAAACGAATACTTTCGGCGATATATTGTATACATGCCGATGGATAATATATACATACTTTCGGCGATGTACATACTATTCGCCTGCGATACAGGATTGTCCTAGTGCAGGCATCAACTGTCTGAGATCAATTGTACATACTTAAGATATATTTTTGTATTTTGCATTTTTGTTTTTATGAATAAAGTTTTATTATACTTTTATTATTGATATGAAATGTCGCGTGACGTCACTTCTATGTACATTTTATACATAGAAATGACGTTTTAGCCCCCACTCCTAAACTTTGATTCATTTTATCTTAGGAGGTAGATATATTATACGACAAAAAAAATACGTGCCTAATATTTTTTCATTGCCTAACTGACGGACTAATTAGATTTTTAATTTTCATACCCCGTCATCATCCCAATTATACTGAAATAGCACTGAGACCAAACTATACACGGTGTTGGATAGTTCAACCCATGGCCCCATTTGATACCATAGATACCTTTTTTTTGATGACGGAGCAAACCTTTAAAAGGCGCCCAGCCTTTTTGGGGATAAAAGACTAGGGAGTGTGGGATTTTTACCTCACTAAAACCACCCCGGTGGCCACCCTCAACACCTGAATGGAGGCACCGGGTCCTCTAAAAGAGACCTGCTCCGGCGCCTCCACGGTGCAACGCCTGTTATAACACATCCCTAAGGAGACGGGTGTCTCCTTTAAGCCTTGATGTGTACAGCGGCACGTGACCACTGCGCCACCGTCTTCGCTGAGACCACAGGGTGGGCACCTAGTCCCCACTCTACGCACCCGTGGCCCCAAAGGTCCGCCTGAAGTTTATGCAGGCGGGATTTCGGCGTGTTAGGCGTCAAGGTGGTTACCTCCTCGATGCCTTCTACGAGCAGGATCGGCCCTCTCGCGACCCTGCTTACCAGCTTCCTTTTGGGATGGTACCATAGATACCTACTACACGAAACAATATACTCTTCTATCTACTTCTACAAATAACAAAGCTTAGAGAACCTTTTAAAACACTATTAAGATAATTTTAAAACAAACAGTCTTCGTAGCTCAACAAAAAAGAAGAAAATCCCCTATAAAACGTCTAGCTACACAACTTGAAACCCTGTTCCATTCGTCATAATGTTCAATTTAGTACATTTTCATCCCCCTAAAGATCCCAACGACCCCTTGTTGTCCTTTGCAACAGGAAATGACGTGTGCAAACTGCAAACTAAAACCACTACACAGGGTGTATTATGAATTGTGTACTTTTTTTAAGGCGGGAAAATCATCGAATGACTGCTCCCGCCTGAGTGAGGCGGGAGGGAGTGTCAGACTCTTGCTGACTAAAAACCACCCCGTTCCTTCTCCTGCACGTCGAGCCGGAGCTCCGGTACCCCGTTAGGTTCTCCGCGACAAGAATTGTTTAGTTGCGAATAAGTCAAATTCAATTTTTTTTTGAACTGTCAAAAATGACAGTTTTCATGAATTTTGTATGCATTTGTGTAGGTACCTATTTCTTAAGAAATTGCTGGAAAAATATCAAAAATAAGTTGGTCATAAAATCAATTAATGAAAGTGTAATCATTTTTTAATATTTTATTGTACTAAACAGTCGAAATAATTTATTTTTGATTAAGGAAAGTACCGTCAGACGATGACAATTGTTTACCATCAGGTATGCTCGATTGTCGCCGTATTCCATAAAAAAAAATTTTCACGACTCCCACACATCCTGTAGAACGTAGGGAAGTAAAATTACTCGATTATTTACGACTCCTGGGTACCATAGTGCACTTTTGTGACACTTTGAACTTTTTTCAGCGGCGCCGGCTGAATGCAATTCCGCGATTACGACACTTTTTTTTGTTTTAAAAGTGCGTTCCGCGAGAATAATTGCGCGGCTTTTTTGTTTGTCTGTTTTTTTTATAGTAAGGTGTTTATTTTTTGAGGTGTTTTGTTTCCGAAGCACCACACTGCTTTGGAAGGCCGAGATAAACACATTTAGGTATAAAGCTGTTGAGCCTGTGAGAGTTGTAGCTTTTTTGAAGGTGAAAAAAACATTCAATGACTTTTCCCGCCAGGGTGAGGCGAGAAGGAGTGTAAGACTACTGTTACTGACTAAACACTTAATTATGCAGTCCCCACAGATTAATAAGATTTCTGTGATAGTCCCTTAGCGTATGTTAGCTCCGCGGGAATAATAAGGGTAGCGGCAAAATTGTCTCCAAACGTCGCGAAATGCAGGAGAAGGAACGGGGTGGTTTTTAGTCAGATAGAGTCTGACCGCCTGAAAGTCAAAGGAGAAGTCATTCGATTATCCCCCCTTAAAAAAAATATCTCCAAACAATTTATTAGCAACATACCTAATTGGGAAAAATTAAAGTCCTTTTGGCTGTATATAGAATAAAAAACATCTCGCTGTATATAGAATAAAAAAAATTACGCACAATTTTTTTAAAGTGCGAAACATAAAGCAAACTTCAATTAAAAATCTTTATGCAGGCGATGGTACGGAAGTCATTCAGCCTCCCCTGTACCTCCACTCTAGTGCAACGCAACGCGTTAATTACTTGCCATTGCACCCCTCTATTTTTCCCGCCCTTTTTACTTTAAACCATAGACATCGTTCCCTCGTGCCCCATTAAGAGATGCAAGGAGTCTTTGTTTTCTTATAAAATCATAGTTCTACTTTTTATTCTTGTTATAGTCTGTTAAAAATATGGATTATAATTACTTGGCTTTGTCAAAAGTAATTAATTGGGTACTTTACTTGATCAAAAATAAATTATTTCGACTGTTCTATACAATGAAATATTAAAAAATAATCATTTTATGACCAACTTAATTTTTTCCGGCAATATTAAGTATGCTGTTTGACGCTAAAGAAACGTGACGTCACAATACACAATCTCGTACAAAATTCATAAAAAACTGTCGTTTTTGACAGTTCGAAAAAAGTTTTGAATTTGAATAGTTGGCAAGTATACAATTGTTTACAGAAAATAGGGTTATCATTATATACAAGTACACAGTATAATGGGGACCTCATAAAATTCAAAAACAGTGAATAAAAAATAGATAAAAAAACATAACATAATATTACGACTTTTATCTCCGAAAGGGTAGGCATTTTTCACTATTTATGTTATGAGTCCCATGTAATAGGGGGTGAGCCTATTGACATATACCGGGCACAATTCCAAACTCCGTGCTACTACTGTGATTTTTTTTTAAACTTAGTAATACTTCGATTACCATACGACAATAATAATTATAATTAATACATTGACATTCTTTTTCGACTTCGTAAACAAGGTACGTACCAGCGGAGTTACAAGTGCGTTGCCGATGTTTTAGGGAATAGCTTTGGTTGTATCCTAATTAAAATAGGGACAGGTAATTAGGAAACGCTATAAAAATTGTCAATACCCTGTCTAGTCAAAACGGAAATTGCAAATTTTCAATCTGTTAACATTTTATAATCTGTGCAGTTAACCGTTTTATTACGACTGGCAACACCCACTTTCGTGATTTCTTTCCGTAGCCTTATCGTTAGATTTTGCATCATAATAATTTAATAATGGCTTTTACCTCTGAAGGGAGTATAAGTAAGTAATACCTCAGTAAGAAAACTAGATTAACTCGTCGAGTACCGGTTTTATAGACACAATTAAAGAACAATAGGTTGCGGTCACCGGTGTCCTCGCGGTGTTTGAGAGTTTAAGTTTTTTTAACAGCTTTTTGTTTAATTCGCTGATAGTTGAGTCTAGTATTCAAACTACTAGGCACAACTATTTGTAATATGTGATGTGTCTACACACATAATATCACGCCTTTTATCCCCGAAGGGTTAGGCAAAGGTACACATTACGGATCTTAATGCCACTGTACAATGTAACACCCACTTTTCACTATGTATGTTATGGTTCCCATGTAATAGGGGGTGAGCCTATTGTGATGTGTCTAACATAACATAACATAATACCACGCCTTATATCCCCGAAAGGGTAGGCAGAGGTGCACATTATGGCACCTAATGCCACTGTATAATGCAACACCCACTTTTCACTATTTATGTTATGACTTATGAGTCCCATGTAATAGACGGTGAGCCTATTGCCATATACCAGGCACAATTCCAGACTCCGTGCTAACACTGAGATTATTTTTTAAATCCAGTAATACTTTGCCCGACCCGGGAATCGAACCCGAGACCCCTTACCCGGCAGTCGCACTTGCGACCACTCGGCCAACGAGGCAGTCATATGATGTGTCTATGTATTTGTATATTTTTATACCCACTGTTGATGAAGCGAAACGCTCTGCCTACCCCCATGGGATACAGTTCCTTCCCCCCCCCCCCGTTCCTCCTCCGGTAACTTGTTAGGTTCTCCGCGATTCCGAATCGGCATCGGCCCTATTGGGCCCCATCTGTGGTGGTCTGATGGCTCTTAGAGGTCTCTTGGCCGTACGCTCGAGTATGGGATACAGGGATAAGTATAATGATA